TATTTCAATAATTCGCTTGCGCATAGGGATCTTTAGCAGTGGGAGGAAACCGGAGGACCCGGAGAAAACCCACGAGGTTGGACGGGCGACCCTACTCCTTGTCACGTACAACCGGGGATTCGAAACCACGCCAGTCGACTCAATGACAGACTTTATGATACAGCGCGCACGCTGACCATTCAGCCATCCACCCCCCCCCCCCCCGTTTTGAACAGACTTTTTTGTTTAGGGTTTAGCGCTATATAAGAACCCTATTATTATCATTCCCTTCAATGTTAAAACTATTCCATTTCTTAGCCTATAACATTTTTTTCTTTAATTCCAATGATCTTAACCTCTTCAATCACAGAGATCCCAACATGTCACAAGCATCTGATAAAAATATTGTATGGTTTTGGCCTCTAGATATTTTGCTACGCTCGGTCACATGAATAGGCCCTGATGTGATTTTCATCCTGACCCTTCCGCCTGAAAACCATGACTATTGACACTTTTGTGTCGACCATATCCAGAACCCATAACATCGCTGCTAGTAGCTATCATTGTCCACCAATGTCAAATTAATGTCGCTCTAAACTTTGGACTAACTTTAAACCCAAATATACCAAAAAAGCGTACTGTTCCGGAAACAAAACTAAATCAATTTGGTGATAGAATTTCAGAGAGGGCCGGATTAATGGCGGTCCGGCCCTTCCTTATCGATTTAGAACTGGAACCGATGACTTTGCCGCCCAAATCTGACGGAAAACAAGACCGACATATTGATTGTATGCTCAAATCATCTGGCGCGGCTTTCCTCAACTCATCACAGTTACGGGGTTATAAGCATTTTTACGGGAAAACAGTTGTTTCGCTACAGATCGAGGATTCTGGTGCCACTCTTCTCTCCCAAAGGACAATAGAACTAAATGAGAGAGAGAGAGAGAGAGAGAGAGAGAGAGAGAGAGGGGGGATTTAACGTCCACTCGAACAAACTAGGTCATTTCGGGACTAACATATGGTTTAATTTCATTTCATACGCATGCGCGTAGGGATCTTTAGCAGTGGGGGGAAACCGGAGGACCCGGAGAAAACCCACGAGTTTGGACAGGCGACTCTACTCCTTGTCACGTACAACCGGGGAATCGAAACCACGCCAGTTGACTCAATGACAGACTTTATGGCACAGCGCGCACGTGCTAACCATTCAGCCATCCAACCCCCATAGACCTAAATAAAGAAGGGCACATGTTGCTATCCTGAAAATCATCAGGTAATTTTAAATCACAACATTTAAATCAAGCACCGGCATTACCGGCTGAGATCACACAGATTGTTTACAAACAGCGGAAACATTTTAATTTATATCAGATTATCAATGTAATTTACCTGTGATATTATCAAGGGAGATAACACAACTTGTTTACAAATGGGAAACACGTGGATTTAATATACCCGTTACAACGTTTATCCGATGATTAATGAACAATTTAGATGTTTATAAACAGATGGAGATTGTATTAATATCCACCATACAGGTATATAAAGGTTTAGTTTGAAATGGTCATCATGTAAACTCTCAACCGATACGTAAACATACAAGTTCAAAATGGTGGTTTTAGTACTGACTATTGTCGCTTGTTTTATTGGAACTGGCTCTGCAAGTAAGTTATATTATATTTTTAAAAAAATACAGAAATGGTTTAGTAACGCAAAATCCCAAATTACACGTAGGTTTATGCTCAGAGTTTTGTTTTCACGGCAAAATTAACTTTGAAGGAATAGATTCCACATTATGGCATGGCATAACCATGGTTTCTTGGCATATTATTACCAACGGCATGTTATACGGACCAGGGTTATATCAAGATGTACTCTTCCTTGAATGTCTCGACCAGGATTTCATAATCACAGAACCCTTTGACTTACGGATTTTCAACATATTTTCACGTATGGAAACACTAATGTTGGCAAGCTTGTATCTGAATTTCAGAATCACAAGTTACCGGAAATACGTTGAAACTCTGGGGAAGGTCATATGATTTCCATTCCATGATTTAATTTATCTACAGTGTCTCCACCAATGAAAGGATGTCTACAGGATGGTAAATGGTATGCACCTGGTGAAAACTTTAAGATGGATTGTAATTCCTGCACGTGTGGTGAAAATGGATTAGCTTCATGTACAAAAATGACTTGTGTTCCAACTCCAGGTAAAAATATTTTATTAATTTGAGTCACTGATTAAGGCACTGTCTCACCAACCAGAAGGTCTAGGGTAAGATCCCGTACTTGACTTAAATGTTTCAGCGTGGTTTCCCCTTATCGGTGTTGCATGGTGGAGGGCGTCTAATCGTTCGGAAGGTATAAAAACAAAATGCACGTAAATGCAGCCCTGGCAACTGGAATTCAGTGAAGAGCAGCGCAAATGCCGCTATCCTAACATTACATTCAGACGGAAAAGGATAACCAGCTTAAGGATGTAGCTGGTAATTTTAAACCAGTTTATTTGTTTTTGGAACTGTTAAGTACATGTCGGTATTGTAGTAAGTATATGTACCAATAGTTGTATGTGATATCCTTGATTTGAAACTACAGAAACAAGACCCAAACATAATTATATAGTATAGGCTATGATTTTACATTAAATCTATAATAAAATATTGTAGTTGCGTGTTTATAGAATAGTGACAGCTATAATAAGCTATTGTAGTTGGGTGTTCATACAATGATGCTATCTATTGTAGTTGGATGTTCATACAATGGCGCTGTATATGAAGATGGTGAAAGTTTCAAGGATAAGTGTAACCAATGTTCCTGTAGAAAAGGTCGGGTAGCCTGTACAAAGATGGCTTGTGGAAATCTAGCCAAACGAAGTAAGTCTTGGGTGAATAAAATGTACAAATTAAAACGCTATAAGTTGATTCAAACTGAATTTAAGTGACCAAGTTCAGAATATATATACCTAAAGGGTGTTAGATTTCACTAGATGAGCTGGGCGTGTATAATTTCTCCTTGTCAAAGATAGATAAAAATGGCGGTGTGAAATCAATAGAACTTAATGTGAACTTAAAATGGCCAGAACTCTTGACTAAACTATCCAGGGTTTGAATGTTGACGAAGGTTCTTCCCGGGTCCGTAGCCATTGAACGCAATACGAAGCCAACGACCAACGTGCCCATATCAGTATGGGCGTCCCATAAAGCCGAGTGATATTGGATGGGCTGCCATCTTGTCCCCCCCCCCCACCCCGCAAGCCTTCTTAGGGATTTTTCACGCCTAGTTCCGGATATCAATAAAAGTCGTTCGATTAAGATATTAGAATCAATATGACTGAATTATTTTGGTTACAAGAAGCTAAACCACGGGAATGTGGATGTTTCTTTACAGAATTTAATGTCCTGCCATACTGCACATGTGGATGTTTCTTTACAGAAATTAATGTCCTGCCATACTAGGTCCTACATATGTATGTGGATATATCTTTACAGACCGTAGTAAGATGCTATCCCACCAATCTACGGCCCGTTGCAGTAAGAACTTCCCATTTATTTATTATCTTTTATTTCAGTGTCAGTGCCCAAATTACCAAACAAATGCTGGTTTAATGGAAAATTCTACGATATCGGTGATTCTTTTAAAGATGCTGATGATTGTAACACGTGTTGGTGTGGGGGAAAAGGGGAGACAACCTATGTTGCCTGCCATTTGATGGCTTGTGAAACCATACCAATTAATTAAATTGATAAATTAGTATGGTATTAACAATAAATAAGGAATTCTAGATTATCTTTTTATTTATCTCCGCCCCACCCCATCCCCTAACAATCCGGTAAAAACGGGGAAACGTGATGTCGGCTCACCGGTTCACTCTGACCTCCTCAGATCGACCTTGCATTCAATGGCATTTGTTGTGGGTAGGTCAAAATTTAATATTAAGCTGTTCTGATTTGCATAATCATAGATTCTGCTCAAAATATGGATCCATTGGGAAATGACATATAAAATAGTTTAAAAGGGGTGAAAGAGCTTCTTTTAAGTCTTCAACCCACTTTTATGTCTGTTCTAAGAAATCTAGGACCGTCCCTTTAACAACCTCATTCAAGGGATCGTGAAATCCTTTGATTACCTTGCAAACTACAATATTACGAAAGTTGGACCATTAAAGGAAATACTGATCCATTCAGCAGCATTCACAAAGATATTATGAATCGACAATGTGTCAACATTCCTGGTCCACTGCAGACGGTATATAAGATAAAGTAAACACAAGCTTTCGCCACCGTTATTTCCGCCGAGATCTTTTGATTGGCCTCTTTTTAATTCAACAGCTTCCAAGCCAGGAGATTATCTAGATTTGATCTCGAAATAATCAATTTGAATACATTTTAGCATAGAAAATAATTTGACATTGTCCCAAAAATACAAACCCCACAAAGACTTTAAAATCAGTGAAAAAAAATGAAATGGGTTTTAGCTTCTTACTGCCCTGACTTGGCTAATGAAGACGGGCATACACCATACAGTGTGCTATGAGGGCAATTTTCCCAGACATCCACGCTTCACCCCACTCTTTATTTCAAATTCCAACAGTCGAGGGTTCTGGGTTTTTTTTCCATCCAAACGAACATAGGTTTTCCTTGCCAGGACCTCCTTCCTACACCACTGACAAGGGAGAACCATGCCGGAAAATCCTGATAAACTTTCTCGGCCAACACAAGGGATAAAACACAGGAACTCGGGGTTAGCAATCCAACGTCCTACCCACTGATCCACTGTGGCTCTCAAAATCAGTGAAAAATAGAAAGAGAGAAATGGGGTTTACTGTCCACTCGACACAGACTAACATATTTGGGACCAACATATGGTTTAATTTTATTTCAATAACTCGGGGTCTTTAGCAGTGGGAGGAAACCGGAGAAAACCCATGAGATTGGACAGGCGACTCAATGACAGACTTTATGATACAGTGCGCACATGCTAACCAGTCGGCCATCCAACCCCCCAGTGAAAAAGAATAATTTAGTTTAAATCTTATTTAATAATAATAACATATATAGATACATGTACATAATTGACTTTGCACTTTCTGGGCTTTTTAAATAGTGACATAATTCATTATCAACATTTTTCTTCTTTTTTTTTTTTGAGTTTGATTTGACTATTCTATCATTTTCGCAGTAATAATTATTTTGTTATTGAGGCATAAATCAGCTAGGTAATCAAACATGTACTAATATTGTACTCACAAATTTTATTACCCGTGGCAGTTTCACGAAATTTTAACGAAGATAAAATCCAAATTTTAGTAATTTGATTGGATAATATTAGATTGATTTTAGTGCTTAGCCAAGAAGTGTCTGCTACAATTTGGATTTTATCTTTAGTTTAGATTTCGAGAAACAGGGCCTTGTACATTAAAATTGCATATAAGCCTTCAACGGATGTATTTTTTTTTCTTTAAAAGGGTTTGATTTTAAAAACATCAAATATCCTTATAATATAAATTTTGTAGAATGTTTTTCATGTTTAGACACTGTCAAGACATTAACATACTATAACAATACATGAACAAATTATAACAATGTACATGTAGCCTTTTGGTTTCATGTAGTTTTGTAAAGATGTATTCTTATCAACCTTTCACACAAACAAATTTAACATTTACAATTATGACCGACAAGCCTATACTGGTAATAAGACCCGGAGAAAACTCACAAGATTAGACAGGCGACCCTACTTCTTGTCACATACAACTGGGGAATTGATACCACGCCAGTTGACTCAATGACAGACCTTATGATACAGCGTGCATGTGCTAACCATTCGACCATTCAACCCCCTTGTATTTAACAGTAAACGTATTGTTGTTACATGTATTAATTGTACAGTTGTATAAAGGCCTAATTGTATGGTATCAATTTGTAAACACTCTATTAAACCTGTTTGTGGCAGTACCTTGATTTTCCAGTGGGGTGGTACATACATTAAATTTTGAAAAGGGAGGGGGGCTTGGGAGAAAATTGTCTCATGCAGCTTGGATATGTCTAGCTGCAAATGAAAAGTACATACATTAATTTTTTAAGGGGGGTGGGGCGAGAGGGCTGAGGGAGTTTACTACAACAGTAGTAGTAGAACATCTGCAAAACATAGTCATAAATTATTAGTGACCAGTTTCATGTTAATAATTAATCTTTTGTAGTTACCGATACATTATGACAGTTTTTTTTATGAGGTTTGTAATGTCAAGTCCACACAATTACAATCAGCAGCACATTCCATATTTCACATTATGTCTCTAATGATCAATAACAGACTGTTTATGTTAGCAATACATATGCCGATGTAGATACATCGTTTCTCTTCCCATAAACAAATTTCCATAACAATAGCCTAGGCCACGGCTTTTTTTGAAGGTCAAAATCACAACTCGGTGACTCTAGTCATCTGCATCACTTTCTCCGTCTTCACTTTCATCCTCCATATCCCAATTATTTTCAGATTCGGAATGACTTGCTAAAAGATCTTCCATAGGATCATCATCATCAGAAGATTCCTCGTGATAAAGTAATAATGGTGTCTGCTGAACAGACGTATCGTCCTCCTCTTGCTCCTGTGAAGTTATCTGTGATAACATCAAATCAAGTTTACCTTGTAGTCGTGACAACCGGGAGAACATACCAACTCTCGCTTCCATCAGTTGGTATAAAGAACTCAATGAATCGACAATTTCTTGAAAAGTCATCAAATAGGATGTGTGTGTAGTTAGCACAGCTTTTAGCCACTTTAATAAAATCTGTGCTCCACCACTCTGACGGCTGTGGATACGAACAGATATGGCTTTTATAAATGGTACAATAAGCTGGACTGGTAATCGTTTCACTGTGTTTTGAACAATTTGGGGATTATCATAGTGTAGCACTCTTTCAATCAGGGTTTTGTCGTTACTCTGTAAACCCTGTGACAGAAGATTTATCAAAGTATCTGCTTTCGGTAGCTCGTCTTTCTTTTTATGTCCTGGTTTTTCGATGCTGATGGCATTTAATCTATCCTCCATAGTCATATCACCCACCGACGGCTTTCGTTTCCGCCGCATCATGTGACCAGGAGCTAGCATTGTCGCATCAGCAGTATCTGGACTTTTTATTTTCGTCATATCTTTTTCTTTAGGAGCTGCTATGGCAGATAATGCACTTTCACGAATAAGACATACTTCAGGTTGAGATGGATCATATGGCAGTTTTTCAAAGGTAGGTTTTAGAAAACTACCATGTGCTATTAATAAACTATTGTCTAAATCTTCACAAATATGAGCAGCCAAAATAGGAACTAATTCTGGTACAGCATCATTCTGATTATTTGAAGCTATTTGTGCATGAATTTTGGGTTTTAGTGGTTTCTTCATGCGTCCATTAAGTGTGTGTTCAAAAACAAGTAAATGTCCACTAGCAGTCACCACTGATAATAATAAGGGGCTATCCTTGCCAGATCCCTTAGAAATATTTACAACAACTGGCTCGTCGGGTAATGAAAATGATGCTAAAGAATTTTTATCTTGGTTTGCAGGGTTTGTGTGCCAAGCATTGACAGTTCTGTCATTTAATGCTGCAGACAAAAAATAAAAGTCTGTATGGGAACCATTCATGGCACTGCCATTCGGGCAGAATGGTATGGGTATTAACCGGAACACTTCCGTGGCATGTCCTGTAAATGTCTTTAGCAATTGTTTCTTGCCATCAATGTCCCACAGTTTAATTGACCGACTTGCAGATAAAAGGTATTTGTTAGACGAGACACAAACAGAATAAACAGCCCCTTTGTCAGCTTTCCATTTTTCTTTCACCTTGCTGTTCACAACATCCCATTCAACGATATGGTGATCTGATGAACAGGTGTATAATATGGGGTCTTCTGAATGCCAACACGACCCGTTCACTGTCTCTGTATGTCCACCTGTCAACTGTGTTTGGAGACTACCAGCTACAATACTATATATTAATACATCTCCACTTGTTGTACCCATAGCAATCATGTGCTGATCGTCTGATTTTTTGAGACTTGATCTTCTTTTTTTCTTTTTTGGTTGGGCTTGATTTGCTGTGTTCCGACTCCATGACATACACGTACATGTCGCCGAGAGGTGAGAACTCGGGGTGTATTCTTGCTTCAGGATACCTGACGCTGTTTCCCACACTTTTAAAACCCCATCAGGGCTTGCGTATGCCAGAAATTCATTATTTGGCGAAAACTCGATCGGCGGCCGGACCGCCATGTTCTTGAACACGTGGGAAAATAAATAGGTTAGTGGGAGATAACTCTATTTTGAAAAGGTTTGTTTTTCACTTTAACGTCTTACAAAGTCACTGATCTGTAACAAATGTAGCATTGTGGAGTTCCTGTAGTTGTTCGATTTTAACTTGATCTGGATATACTGATGGAAACTTCATGAAAACACCCGAAAACTTGAAAAGTTTGCAGATAAACTCAACAACGTGCTTTTGGAGATAAATATTTCAACTTCCGCTGACACAGGAAACGACTTTACGGAAGTTGGAAACAGTGACGTCATGTCAACAACATGGAAGAAGCTAAAGACGAAACTACACATCAAAGGTTCAATTATTAACAGCTTTTTGTTATATATTTAATCAGATTATTATGCATATTACCGGGGGAGATATCCTTTCTTCGTATTATGGAAGTGAGGAATGGTTTGCTCTTAACAGTTCCTGGATAAGATGAATGTATGTGCTGACATGTCCTACTTTCATTTTCTTTTTGACACTTCCTTATTAATTAAGACGCTTTTCAAAGATAAATGAAATGAAATGGGGTTTAACGTCCTACTGTTCTGCTCGTAACCTGGGCTAATGAAGACGGGCATACCCCACACAGTGTGTTATGAGGGAAATTTTGCCCGGGCAGCGGCACTATCGCCTACTCTTATATCGAATTCCAACTGCCAAGGGATCTTTTACGTGCATTCCAATGTATACACGGGACTTCGGTTATTCGTCTCATCCGAAGGACTAGACAGCTGTCCTTGTCAGGCTCTCCGTCCTGCATCACTGACAAGGGGGAACCACGCCGGAAAATCTGGATGAACTTTCTCGGCCAATGCAGGGATCGAACAACCGACCTCCAGGCTAGCGAGCCAGCGTCTTACCCACTTAGCCACGTGATTCCCCCGTTTCAAAGATAATATGCAACAATAAGTGTTTGAATACCTAATGCGAAGTGGTATCTGGATAGATAAGAGGTTCTAGAAGGAGTAAGAAAATACCCTAGTGTGGGGGGAAACAGCTTATCCCTGGATCTTACTAAATTAGTAATAAATTGATGGGATATTATTATTCTATGAGTCTACAGTACAGTATTTCAATAGCACAATCTATTAGGTGGAAAATAAAGTACACTAGCCTTGCATTATCAAAGATGTTCTGAAAAATTATAAGGACATAATAGGCTACATGAAAGGCAGCACATTAACTTCTGATTTGTTTCATTTCACATGTAGGTGGCAATTAATAATTATCAGTGTGTATTATTAATTAATTTTTTTTTCTATGATTTCAGAGAGAGACATAAAACTCAACTATATATAGATGTTAAAGCTACACAATGGCCAATCATTTATTCAGCGGAATATAATATTGGATTTTTAGGGTTAGAAAAGTTGCATCCTTTTGATTCAGCTAAATGGGGAAGAGTATTTGAATTTCTAAAAGGTAACTGATTTTGACATCAATGTTGATTTTATAATTAATCTAAAAAAAAAAACAGTATACATGCCAAAACATTATGAATAGTAAGTGCAGAAGGAGAGCGCTGCATCCAAAACAAAACTGATTTAGACAAACCTGCGGACAAGACAAATTACACAGACATTGCAAGTAATAAATAACAGATATCAAAACACTATGAAGAATTGGGGCGCCACGGTGGCTAAGTGAGTAAGACGCTGGCTTGCTAGCCTGCAGGCCGTTGGTTCGCTCCCGGTGTTGGCAGAGATGAAATGAAAAACGAGGTCCCTTGTATACATTGGCATGTACGTAAAAGATCTCTTGGCTGTTGAATTCGTTGTAAAAGTAGGCCAAAGCACCACTGTCCTGGCAAAATTTCCCTTATAGCACACTTTATGACGTATGCCTGTCTTCATTAGCCCATTCGGAGCCGAACAGTAGGACGTTCAACCCCATATCTTTTTATTTCATTTCTAGTTTATAATCTTTTATAGCAAAAAAAAATGTAAAGAAACAAATGTCACTGTGAGACTGTGATTATGAGTAGAATATGTATTGGAAGTGGAACATTTGAACTAATCAGAATTACTTTGATCTGTTCACATTTTCCCTGCTCCATCAACATATGTTAGCCTCAAACTGATTGTTTTCAGAGGCGGGTATGGTACGAGATGATACTATTATTAGTCCATTAGAAGCCAGAGAGGAAGATCTCACTATAGTTCACAGTAGAACATATTTAAACAGTTTAAAGGTTGGTTTAAAATGAATACAGATGGTTGTAACAATAGTAATTATAGAAAGCTTTGTTAAAAGATCAGTTTAACAGGCATTATTTGAGGGAGCGTTAAATAGGCATTATGCTAGAGCTAAATCTACCTATGGCAGGTCTTTCTTCAGGCCTTAAATGTTATATAAGTTATTAATTAGACATCAATTAACATGACAAAACCATAATCAAGTCTCGATGTCATTGGATGCTCCGATTTTAAGTAGATTAGAACGGTTCGATCATTTAATTTTAAAATGGATAGCTGAGGCTTTGTTTATTTATTAACCTTTTCATTGGTTGGGGGTGAAAATCCTGGTACAGATTTAGCTCTTAGCCATTGAAAATGCTGCATTCTTAAAAAAATTTTAGGTTATGTTTTCATCAGTGAAACCCCAAATCTATAAATCCTAGCCATTTAAAGTGAATTTAATTTCTGTTTTTTTTTTCGCACAGCTAGTTTTCCATGCAAACTGTCCAGTTCTGTATAGATTTTGTTTGTCCTTGCATTTTATTAATAAAAACTATAGTAGTACTGGTAAATAATTATTATTTTTAAAGTATCTGGTTCATTGTTACTTATAGACCGGGAGCCCAGGGGGTCAGCCTAGCTGAAAAGTGTACCAATTTTCTCCTATATGGTATCAATGTATGTATATCTGGTATCATCAGAATGTAAGTCTGCCGGGTTTCTGGTGGTGGGTGTGGTATTCCACGCACTAAATGCCATGATCCCCAACTAGACTAGATTAGCTCAAAAGTGTACCACATGAAAATCTTACTGCAGTGTACCGTACATGTTCAGGTATTATAAAAACACTGTGACAGACATTTCTAGCAGTGGGGTACCCTTGACAGAGCTATGTAATTCCCAGACATTTGTAGTTGTGGAGTATCCCTAATATTTAGACCAAAGCTAGGCTAGATTAGCTGAAATCTGTACCACCTAAAACAGCTTTGGAGTTGTTCAGTACCACCACAGGAGTCATGAATGACCACTGCCAGACAGTTTGTGCGGTGGGTTACCGCTAACAGACACGCCCCAAAATGCCACGCCCCCAACTAGGCTAGCTTCGCAGGCACTGTTCATGTGGAATACCACACCCACCACCAGAAACCCGGCAGACTTACATTCTGATGATACCAGATATACATACATTGATACCATATAGGAGAAAATTGGTACACTTTTCAGCTAGGTTAACCCCATGGGCTCCTGCTCTATTAGAGCTATATAGTATTTTTATATACCCACATTTCATGTTAAAGTATATTGTCAATGATCCATCTGCTTTCATTTTTTTAAACTTGCTAGGATTGTTCTGCTAATCCAAAGGAGGTATTCTATTGAAATCAAGAGTCATACAACAATTTTTTTACAGAGTTACTTCCCCTGTTACCCAAAACGTATAGATGCTTTACAGATCAGAGTTTTTAAATTTGTTATCTTTTCGCCTAAGATATCATAAGTATAAACTAGAACTTCACTTTAGTTACGATGGGGGTCACCATAGCCCCCTGACTTGCAAAAAACAATTGGGAATTCAGTAAAACAAATGTCAGCACCCTAGTGAAGACCTAGTGTACCTAATCGTCAAGCATTATGCATGAAATTATATACCCTGCCTTCTCATCAAATCAATGCTTTTTTTGTAAATACATCTATTTTCACTTTTATTAATATTTTAGTAAGGACACTGACTATTTACAAAATCAGTCTGATTTAAACACAGATCCTATTTCGTTTCGTTTTTAATAGTTCAAAATTTCGTTTAACTTGTCTTCACAACACTAGGATCAGGAAGAGTTGTTATATAACCTTCGTTCTGGTTGATGTGAGGGATGAGCCAATGAAACATAATGTTATGGCGAGTTCTTGGCGTGTGGTGCACGAAAATGTGGGTTAACCACTAGAAACGTCAACGCTGATTGATTAATTAATGTCTAACGTCATAGGGACAAAAGCCGCTCATATGACCCCTGACGCAATCTTCCACTAGAATCGGTCAGATCTTCATGTTGTGCAGGTCATCAAAAGTATAAAAAAAACGAAACGAAATATTTGAATCAGATTATTTACAAAATGTTTGCTTTTTAAAGGGACAATAACACTCTTGCTGGCTTGACAGCTCCAGAAAATAAAAAATAGCCTTATTCTAAGTACTAGATGAGTTAGTGTCCTACACGTTGTGTAAATTATCCATTAAATCCTATTTTACTTGTCCAGAGGGTTCAAAAATATTTTTAAATCCAAGTCACATTTGAAAAGCTTTACGTCAGACTTTTCAAATCATTTAGTTGAATTTTTCCAATTTTTTAAATTAGATGTGTTAAGATGAAATTTGTACCATCAATTAATTGGAATATTGTAAAATAGTACAATTTGTTGACCAGAATAAAGATTGGGACATATTATTCAGTTACAAAAAGAGTGGTATTGAGCCTTTAATTAAAATTAAATTAATGCTAATTAGTGATTGCTTTTTAAAATTGACTAATTCTAAAAGATTAAAAATTTTATTTGTAAATAGTAAAACACTAATAAATACTATACCTTTGCCATTTGGCATCATATAAATGTGCATGAATGAAGAGAATATTTTATTTCATGAAACAACCACCAATACATGTTATTAGGTGAAGGTATTTTTTAACCCTATTTAATATAAGCACTGGTACTTTTTGGTCTTCAGCTTACAGATATTATTGAGGGAATATCCGAGGTATTATTTTAATATTATATGTAGTTTATTTGTGAAAGTTTTAGGACAACTCTCTCTGTGTCATGGTATTAATTCATTGGCCAGTTTTTATTTAAAATCTTAAATGCTTTAGATTTATAGGAGTATCCTAAACAAAGTTGTATCCATTTCATGTAGATAGATTTAACGAAAGCTATTAGTACTTGCAGCTAAATCATATATTTGTTGAAATTGGTAATAATTTCCTTGTTGGTTCTTATATGATCCAATTACATTCGACCAAAACAGTCTTATATCTTGTCTAAAATACATCACTGATTAATGAAAAGTTGCCACTTTCGACATTTTAATAGCTAAATATATATTACTTGCAACAAAATCAGATATTGGTGAAATTGTTGATAATTTTTGTACTGGTTTTCAAAAGAAAAATTACAATTTGCCAGAACAATCGCTATATCATGTCTATTGATAACAAAGGAAGAGTTGTCCTAATAAAATATAAAAGCACTGATCAATAAGTAATAAAGAAGTTTCTGTTTCCAGAGAGTACTTCACAAATATTTCTGACATTTTTGTTGCTAAATATTTATTTGCTAAGGCCACACCAATCGGATTTCCTGTTTTTCGGGAACACATGTTAAAATTTTGCTTCTTATTTCTTTGGAAAAATGACTAATTTAAAAACCAAAGTTCAAAAGCTTTTAATTCCAAATATTTCAATTTAGAAATTATAAACAAAACATCTTTAACAAGACCATGAAAAACCCAAAGTTTAAAAGTTTTGTGTCTCAAATATTTCAGTTTTGAAATTTTAATCAAAACATCTTCCATGTCTTTCAAGTGGCTATTTATTCAAAAACCAAAGTTAAAAAAATTTTAATTACAAACATTTCAGTTTAGAAATTTTAAATAAAACATCTTTAACAAGACCTCGAAAAACTGAAAATTAAATTGGTTTGACCTAGTTGTTGGAGATGATTACTTCTTGAACTGTGCTATTATCCTGGAGGAAAAAGAATGTAGCAGTTGTCCTTATTAAAAATTTTAAGATCAAGTGTCATTAATTCTCTTTTTTTTTCTAATCGTATATGAATTTCTCAATGGAATCCTTGATGCATTTTCAACATTATTCTAAATTTGAAGCCAAATCTTGATCTCTTTCATTTGTTTTTATATGCATGCACCATACATAATCATGTTTACTCAGAAATTCAGATAACACAGTGCTTGCATGAATTCATACAAACTATTTAAAAAGGTGGCCGAATGAGTTTGATCCCAGTGTTGGCTGAGAAAGTTCTCCAGGATTTTCTAGTGTGGTTTTCCCCCATGTCACGTGGTTTCCCCCCAAGGTCTCATGTACACATTGGCATGCATGTAAAAGAACACTTGACAATTGGAATTCGATATAAGAGTAGGCTGTAGTGCTGCTGTTCAGGCAAAATTTCACTCATAGCACACTGTATTGCGTATGCCCGTCTTCATAAGTCCAATCGGTGCAGATTAAACCCCATTTCATTTCATTTATTTCAAAACGTGAGTAATGGAGTCAAATGAATGAATTGGCTTTATTTAGTTCAATTTATTGAAATCGGGGTAATATTAAGCACAAAATTGATTGCCGCTAGTTTTCAAGAGTTATCTGGATGATTGTGAAGATATCTTCATTGTGAGAGTGCAGCACATTGTTTGCCCTTATGGCCTTTCATGCATTCAAAGCCGACGTGTTACACCTACATTGAAATCTTTTGCTTATCTCTGTGTTTATTTTTTACTGTAAAAGTACACTTGGTTCTCCTTAGTAGAGAAATCATGTATTTTAGTCACTGTGACAGCATCTAGTCGTTTGGATGATGCAAAAACAGATCATTTGTATGTACGTAAAAGAATCCTTGGCAGGTTAAATTCCATGACGACTAAGTGGAAACGCCACGATGAGTTCAAGAATTCTGTCATAGCACACTGCATGGTGTATACCTGTTTTTCTTCAGCCCCTGGGAAGCCTTGGTGGCAAAGGGAGTAAGATGCTGGCTCGCTAGTCCGGAGGTTGCGTGTTCGCTCCCAGTGTTTGCCGAGAAAGTTCATCAGGATTTTCCAGCATGGTTTCCCCATGTCAGTGGTGCAGGATGGAGGGCCTGACAAGGACAGCTGTCTAGTTGTTCGTATGGGATGAAAAACTGAGAACCTATGTACAAAATAGTGTGCAAGTAAAAGATCCCTTGACAGTTGGAATTTGATATAAGAGTAGGCCGTAGCGCCGCTGTCTGGGCAGAATTTCCCTCATAGCAGACTGTATGGCTTTTACCCATCTTCATAATACAAGTCGGAGCAGAACAGTAGGACGTTAAACCCCATTTCATTTCATTTCTTTAGCCCGGAAGGTGCAGAAAAATAGGACATTAAACTCTATTTCATTTTTAATCATCGTCATTTTGTACACTATCACAAAGTTTCATTTTTTACATTCACTACCCTTCTTCATAATGCATGTTTTATTATTGCATGAATGAATTTTTTGTTTTTTTTATAAATATTTCATTTCTGATCAAATATCAATTTATCAATTAATGTCTTGATTTAATGTTGATAACCCTTTCTGTCTATAGCAATATTTATCATTTTCAATATCATAATAACATTGTATTTGTTCTATGTGGGTAACATTTGAATCTATATTTTATCTTCGGTGACTTCATAGAATAGAATCCAATGTGAAAGTCCTGAATTTATGATTATTAATGTATATATTTATATTCGTAGTCGTACACCTATGTTTTATCTTTTACTTCACAGTGGAGTTGGAATGTTGCAGGAATCACAGAAATCCCACCGGTTGCCTTGTTGCCAAATTTTGTCGTCCAAAGAAAAGTTTTACGTCCATTTAGATATCAAACTGGTGGAACTATATTAGTAAGTAATTAAAGTCTCTGATGATGATGAGAGATTGAGGAATATTGTGATAGTCGAATCTCGATAGAGAATATCACGAGGAATATTGTGATAGTTGAATCTCTAGAGAGAATATCACAAGGAATATTGTGAAAGTCAAATCTCTAAAGAGAGTATCAGTCCTAGATTATGTTCAGTATTTACAAGAGATGTGATGTATTGAATATTATGCTTGCCTGACCAATCTCGTGGGTTTTCTCCGGGTCATCCGGTTTCCTCCCACTGCTAAAGACCCTACTTGCAAGTGAATTATTGAGATAAAATTGAACCATATGTTAGTCCCGTATGTTAGGGCAAGATAGCACCATCTAAAATCTTTTGTTGGACTTGTTTTTAATGCAGTGGAGATGGAATCCAAGCAGGGAGATGTTCTATCATGCATACAAACTGGGTGATTTGATGATATATTTGGACTAAAAACATATTCAAACTAATTATTCTATCAAAAATTTGCTTCAAATCCCTCTAAAAAAATTGTATTCGTGGGGAAATACCCCAAGCTATAAAAAACTATTTTAAAAAGTCATGTTTGTGTCACGTGACTTGACTGTCACTTTTTCCACGTCCGCTCACCATCAAGTTTATCAACATATTCATCAAGTTCTCCCTAACCTTAATAGGTCAGACAATCTATGCCTGCAATCTTTGACGTCACTCGAGCAGACAGCCCTTAATTTCTTTGGCTGCCAGTTAGTAACACCCTCTCATTTTTGTCCTGTCCGCGCTCCATGGGTGTTGTTCAAGAAATCCAGTATTTTTCAAGTAAGATTAGGTGTCTCTACTTTATATATACATACCATAATTGCCATACTTTTATTGGAAATAGCCACCCAATAAATATTTTTGTGGGAAAGTATCTTTAAAAGCTAGATAATCAATTTGAATACATTTAAGGTGTTTGATTGAAATTTGGTAGACTGTTTTACATAACAGAGTTACTGACCAATTGAATATGATCATGCGTCCTATCATTGAATCAAGTGGCATGGTTTCAATCCAACACTTGTACATGACAAGAAGATGGTCGCATGTCCAACCTCGTGGGTTTTCTCTGGGTCCTTTGGTCTTCTCCCACATCGAATTATTGCAATATAATTGAACCATATGTTAGTCCCAAAATGACCTAGTTTGTGTCAAGTGGATGTTAAACTCCATTTTGCTCTCTCTTTTTGTAAATGGATGCATTTTTTTAAGGCTGGTAGGGGATGTGTATTTCTTCTAGAATACTCTCAGAATGTTTCTATAGTCTATATATATAAATATTTTTTGTTGGACTATTTTTCAGGCAGGAAAGTTAGCCATAGATCGAGGCTGGGCTATAAACATAGGAGGAGGGTTTCATCATTGTTCTGCTGAAAGGGGTGGAGGATTCTGTGCCTACGCTGATATCACCTTGTCTATCAAGTTTCTGTTCGAGAAAGTAGAGGGTGTATCTAAAGTTATGATTGTAGATTTAGATGCCCATCAGGTGAGGAGACCTTGTTTTCTTTATTAACATGTTTTAAAAGGCCAATCTCAATTATATTTTGGAGAATAAAACTGCTTAATTTTGTTTTAAAAGCCCTTAAAATCCTCTACTTTTGGGCTGATCAACTCACACAATATATGTGTTACGTTTTCAAGCAACTTAACACGTCAGCCTTGATCTGGCAATGGACACCGGTGTCCCAAACAATATTATACGGTGTTTGCATAAAACCAGACTTTATTTTATAAAATTAACATGTAGGTGAAATTTACCTTTCATTATCAAGTACAGCATGTGGGTCATTCACTGTATAGATCTCTAAGGGAACAGCAATAGATTATCAGGTCACCCAATGAAAAAATTGCCCCAAAATATTAAAATGGTTAAGTGCCCAGATAACCGGTTTGACATTCAAATCCAAATGACTCAATATTTTGAGCTAAAATTTTGAGACAAGGTAAATACACCATTCCTCAATATTTTGGCACTTAAATTTCATACGTACACAGACTTGTATTTCTGAGACTGTTAAAATTGGGATGGTCCCTTTAAACCACAAAATAAATCTGAAACCAAATAACAGGATTAAAAGTAATGGAGTAACAGAGACTAATGTTTCTTGGTTAGTTAACAATGATTCCCAAAATATTTATCTATCTAGAAAATTGATTTAATTATTAATTTTCAACTTCCCTGTATTTCAATCTTCTTTTATTGTCCTATCATTAATAATTTTACAATTCAGGGTAATGGACATGAACGTGATTTTATGTCCGATGACAGAGTTTATATAATGGATGTTTATAATCGAGGAATTTATCCACATGATGGATTCGCAAAACGTAAGTTATATTTTCTTGACAAAAGTTGTAGTGCTATCCCTAGTGTTACACTTTACCATAACTTTACTATTGATGGTGTATAGTCTGCACTGTTTTATAAAATAAACTTTACTATCTATGTCACAGTTTATACTGTAAACTTTACTATTTATGTCACAGTCTACACTGTTTTATAAAGTAAACTTTACTATTTATGTCACAGTCTACACTGTTTTATAAAGTAAACTTTACTATTTATGTCACAGTCTATACTTTATTATAGTTGTTACAGGCTGCACAGCACTGTAGAGTACAGTCTGTTTACTTAAAAATTTATCAATGACATGTATTTGTTACAGGTGGTATCAAGAGAAAAGTAGAATTACAACATTTTACAGAAGATGATACGTATCTTAGTCTTGTCAGAAAGTAAGCAGGATAAAAAAAAAATTAGTGACTGAATGATTTTAAAACAAAGAAATGTGAAATTTCTAATGTATGACTTTGAACACCAAGCAACTTAAACATACATTATACAAGAGCTAAATCTGCCTATTGCAGGTCTTTCTTAAATTTTAAGCCCATTATCAAATTAATTAAATTATTTTTATTATTTCATTTTTTTAAAAATTTTTGGCTCGCTACATCTTGAAGTATTATATTTGTGGGACCTTCAAATAGTACTTTTTAATATTAAATCAATATTTTACAGTCATATTGAAGTTTTAAATCTATATTTTAGTCATATTGAAGTTTTAAATTTATATTTTACCGTTGCATTGAAGTTTTAAAACTATATTTTAGTCATATTGAAGTTTTAAATTTATATTTTACCGTTGCATTGAAGATTTAAATCAATATTTAGAGTCATATTGAAGTTTTCAATCTATATTTTACTGTCATATTGAAGTTTTCAATCTATATTTTACAGTCATATTGAAGTTTTAAATCTATATTTTACAGTCATTTTGAAGTTTTAAATCTATATTTTAGTCTTTTTGAAGTTTTAAATCTATATTTTACACTCATATTAAAGTTTTAAATCTATATTTTACAGTCATATTGAAGTTTTAAATCTATATTTTACAGTCATATTGAAGGTAGTTTAAACGAGTTTACACCTGATATTATTGTATATAATGCTGGTACAGATATATTAGATGGTGATCCATTGGGAAATCTATCTATCTCACCTCAGGTAAATTCTATTGCTCTATCTGTTTTGTTTCTATCAGTAAAACCAGTGTTCTGGACTTATTCTTCCATTAGTATTCAGAGCCAGCCTTAGAGGTATACAAGCCATGCTGTTGAACGGGGCCTGCAACTTACGGAGTTGGGAGGGGGGGTGGGGGCTGGCTGAAATTTAACATAAATTTACATCGATGTTCGGTCGGGCCTTTCACTGTCTTGTTTTATAGAGGCCCCATATTGTGGACTCAGCACAGAGCCTGACCTATACTAAAGCTGGCATTGAGTCAATTATAATCATTTTCGTAAAGCAACAAAAAAAAACCCCAAAAAATCCACAGCAACTTTGTTACAGTCTTGACCACATGGATTACAAAATGTAATTTTGATCATGCTCTTTAATTTAATTACAGATCATATTCATTTTTTACCCAAAGTGATAAAGGTTCTCTCAGATATTGAGTCCATAGAATACATTTACTTTTACTCAAGTCACAATTCTATGGAATACATTTACTTATACTCAAGTCACAATCCTATGGAATACATTTACTTATACTCAAGTCACAATCCTAGGGAATACAAGTACTTATACTCAAGTCACAATCCTAGGGAATACAGTTACTGTTTATTACTGATGATAATTGCTTGATAAAGACTACAGAACCTTAGCTGATGACTGTAATATGACTCAGTAATAAAGAGTAATTATTTTCCATAGAATTGTATCCTGTTTATCTTTTAAGATGAACTGTGTATTTTTAGTTCAATTAGTATTACAAAATGCCATTGAAACAATTTATTAGACTTTTAAAACAAAACAAGTACAAATACAGATGAATGCAAACCAAAAGCACACGCTTTTAATCAATTTTGTGGCTTGAATTAAGTCCTTTGGTTTAACAGATGATATTAATATGAAGAAATTCCTACAGGTATTTTATGTGATTTTTGAATTAATACCAGATTATTTTGTTTGTTTTTCAGGGAATAATAGAAAGAGATCAGATAATATTTCAGAAAGCAAGAACCCGAAATATTCCTATATTTATGGTAACAAGTGGAGGGTATTTAAAAGAAACAGCAAGAATTATAGCTGACTCCATTTTAAATCTTAAAGCTGTAGGGTTAATAAGATGTGATGAAGCAGAGTTTTCAGATATCCCTGAAATAGGTAAGATGTATATTGGTGAATAGACAATTGAAGGATGTGAATAGACATTTGAAGGATCTGAATAGATGATTAAATAGACATTTGAAGGATCTGAATAGACAGTTATAGATGTGAATAAACATTTAAAGGATGTGAATAGACAATTATAGGATGTGAATAGACAATTATAGGATATGAATAGACAAGTGAAGGATGTGAATAGACAATTATAGGATGTAAATAGACAATTGAAGGATGTGAATAGACAATTGAAGGAAGTGAATAGACAATTATAGGATGTGAATAGACAATTATAGGATGTGAATAGATGAAGAATGTAAATAGACAGTGCAGGAAAACCACATAATTAGAGACAGAATTAAAAAAATAGCAAGTGCCGAAATTTATCCTTCTGGTGGTCACATCAAATGGTGATTTTACTATTGTCATTTTTTCAAATGCTATTTGAGTATTCAATTCAATTGAAAAGATAAATTCTCTGACTGTTTTTGTTGCCTTTTCATATTTGTAGATTCTGTAAGTCTTTTACATGAAGATCATTACTCAAATGTTGCATTTTCTCTCTTTTCAGAAGCAGCCATGACACGAAGTCAAAGTGATGGGGGTCTTTTCTCTAAAATGAAACGTGCTTGCCTGTCAAGATCCTCAACAACAGAATTAAATCAAATAGATAATATACAACATGCTTCAAATACTCGTTAACACACTAACACATGCTTTCAGAATGTCTTATTTCTTTCAGCAAGTCTGGAAATAAGGCACCTGTCACAGACATTGTCAGACTCAAATTCAAGCCTAAGTCTTTTATCAGTGTTTATAATGATATGATGGCTGCATAGGAGTACAAGCTGGTTATTTTGTAAATGCCAACATTTTTATGTTGACGTATATTGTCGTCACTCCGGTCCGCCCGTAATTTTTTTCTGATTTTGACGAAGCTTAAAATTTAGGTTTATCGCCTGAAGATCTCCATTCCTTTCGAAATCGGACCATAACTACCCGTCAAAATGTGTAAAAGTGTGTAATACCAAGGTTGTGGACCTGCTAGAGGTCACAATTTTTGTCCGATTTTGATGAAACTTAAAATATATCTTTATATCCCAAAGATCTCAGTCCCTTTCGATCTTCGCTTATTTCAGACCATAACTGCTTGGATTATGGCTACTGATTGTACGAAAAATCGCTTGTTCTCTATCCATCTCTTGCAAAATGTGGGCGTATCTTGGTTGGCAACTGCTGGTTTCTATGGTGATCTCTCCAATGCTATGGAGAAGAATTTTGTCCCGACACTGGCGTTTCTGTCTTGTCTTCATCTAATTCCAACTCATTTTACGTGCACGCCAACGTTTACACAGGTATATGGCTGGCCATATTGTCTAATATATAAAACAGGTTATATTAATGAATCCATTGTAAATATTACATAACTTATCAAAATGATTTATTCAGTCATGTAAAAGTACTTCATTAAATTGTGATTTTTGTAAATATTTCAGATTTACTTAATTGTCATATTCAATTCTTAATATTTCAATCATCGAATTTTCTATATGTTGCTTTATAGTGTTTATTAATTGAAATGTTTTTATTGAGAAGGATTTATATTAGCGAAATATGATTTGTTGAAATGTCCCATTCTGATACTATAAGTAACAATTTTGTTATTTATTTTAAAAAATCAGCTACATCCAGTCTTTGCATACTATGATATGGTCATCTACGAACTTACTGAACCGTACGAACTTCTACATTTCTCAAATACAACGTGAGATAAATCTAATTCTTAAATTGGTAGTCCTCATCATGTCAAGTATTCGGGAGGCCCAAGGAAACCAGTTGGTCCGAGGGCCCAGGGCTACCTAGCCTTCTCCTATCTACAAACTTCTTGAATCTTACAAACTTGAACATTTCTCAAATAAAACGTTTGAAAACTCTTATTCTTAAATTGATCAGCTACCAAAATAAAGTTTGGTATCAGCGAAGTGATGTTATAGAGAGGTTATTTTGTAAAGAGAAACTATGTTTGGGAGTGGGTACTTAATTTGAAATTTGAAACATCAAAAAATGAATATGAAGTTAAGAAGCAAATGGGATAGAATTTCAAAAAATAAATAATTTTAAACAAACTCTAGAAAATCAAAATTAAGAAATTTAAAATGGATGAAGTAGATGTTTTGTAAACAATGACAAACTGTTTATCAAACTTTTATGATTTAGTTTTTTTGTGATAAGCAAGATTTCCTCACAATAAGATTCAATTAGAAATATATTTGTATGATTTTTTTTTTCTGGAGCTGTATTGGACTTAAAGTTACAATTTCATATTTTCTAAGAAAGTCAAAACATAATTATTTCTATGTCTTTTGCTCAATAGGTTGTCAACTCACTATTATACGATCATAGGTTATCTTTCTCACACTTAAAAATCTTCACACTGGAAATAATAACACAATTACCTACCAATTTCCTCCCTTGTTTTCCTATTCCCCACCATGGAATAGCTATCTTCAAATGTTTGAATTTGAGGTTGAAAATGATATTTTTGCCAATTTCTCAACTGGCAATAGTGAATTATAGGATTAATAGGATTATTCTTTAACAAGGTAGGACTGTTTATAGATACCATCTATTTTAAGGCTTTATTTTAATACATTTTAAAAATATAACTTAAAAATATGAAATTGTAACTTTGAAGCCACTGATTGTTGTTTGATAGGATTTAAATCACAAAATTGTGAAAGCTGAATCCCTTCGAGCAATAAAACACTAAAAATGGTTTAATTCCATTCAGTATTTACAAAGACAGGATGAATTGAAAATTTCATAACATTCTTCATCATCTGTAGATGACATAATACAAGACAAATCTTTTCAAGTCCGCTTGAATCGAAGCCGTGAGATCAAATACCATTGATATTTTTGTTTGTTAAATAATCAATTAGAGTAAATATCAGCATGGAGTAAGCCATGAAAATTTGAATATCTTATGAAAATAGAAATAATGACCACTGGCTTTAAATTATAGTAGTCCCATAATGCCATAGTTTATCTTTTAAGAAAGACTAACAGAATATTGTTGTTTTATTCGTGCGTGCAAAGTTATATGTCCCCGGTATTCTTTTTTTTTTTTTATCTCTGCACAATTTTGCGACAATGTTGTCATATGGTAATGTATTATTAATATTTAATATCCATGTGTTATATAGACATTGTACATATACCAGTATTTTATATTTATTATATTAACACATTCAGCTTATTTATTTAATTAACTTGGTCAATCAAACACATTTAGCTCATTCATTTAATTAATTAACATTCAGCCCCATTCATTTAATTAATGTGTTAAAATAATATTAACGCTTTTCATTAAATACTTGTCATTAAAATATATTAACACATTTAGCTCATTCATTTAATTAGCTCATTAAAATATATTAACACATTTAGCTCATTCATTTAATTAACTCATTATGTTATATTACCACATATAGCTCATTCATTTAATTAACTCATTAAAATTTATGAACACATTTGTTAAAATATAACACATTCTGCTCATTCATCTAATTAACTAGTTAAAATATATTAACACGTTCAGCTCATTAATTTTATGAATTAATTTGTTGTTGAAATATATCACATTTAGCACAGTGGGTTAATAAACAAGCTTGTCGTGAAAAATTTAGCACCTTTAACATATCCATTTAATTAATAAACTTGTTAAAATATATTCAGCTCATTCGCTCAATTAATAAACTTGTTAAAATATATCCAGCTCATTCACTTAATTAACTTGTTAAAATATATTCAGCTCATTCGCTTAATTAATTAACTTGTTAAAATATATTCAGCTCATTCACTTAATTACCTTGTTAAAGTATATTCAGTTCATTCACTTAAATAATTAACTTGTTAAAATATATCGCATTCAGCTCATTCATTTGATTTGTCATTATCATTGATAACTATTCCTGTCAAAAATGATCCTAAAAATGAAGAGACACTTATCGTCAATTGTTTTGCAATTTTACTGTTTCTAGCTGTGGAATACCGGTAGATTTAAATGACTTTGCTACATGCCGGTAATACTGTGATTTTATTTTCAGTTAGATTTCATTCATCATATTTGAATTTAATACACATATATATATATATGTATATATATTTTAAGTTAGATTTAATTCATCATTATTTATTTGAATTAAATATTCCAGACATTATATCTGATAATGTTGTTTTAATATTATATTTGTTAAACTTATTGTTGTTACTGAAAGTGCATGTTAGCTGAATTTTAATGTTATATTGTTTTATTAATTGTTATTGAAAGTGCATGTGAACAGAATTTTCATATTGTATTGTTTTAATTGGATCAATTCACTTTTCACTGTTATTGAATAGAGAGGTGAGATAATGAGTTATTCATGTTTGATGTGTTTTCTAATTTTTAAGAGAAACATGAATTTACCTTGATTTAAGCCAAATGTCACATTTTAGCAGGTGACATGAATTTACATTACATGTGGAACCAGTTATTTAAGAGATATAAATTCTCATTTATACAGTTCTAAGAACATTGGTGTAAATTCATGGTCCACCACCCACTGGAATGCCAAAATCATTATTGATCCAAAAATTATTCAAATCAATTAACAGTCCTATTCATAACCCTGGTAAGTTACTGGATTTGGGGTTTTAGAAATATCTCATTGGAACTTTCCTACTGTATCCATTATTATAGAACATCATCAAAATCTTACTTGGATAAGGTCACAAAGTTGAAATTCTTGTAGAGAATATAGAGGGAAATGGTATCAGATTCTTCAGATATCTTCTTAAATGGTTATTGACAGTAATTAATTATGACATTTGATGACAGTTAAAGGAAACATCCCACATATTTTTTTAGTGAATCAAGTGGATTAATTGTGTGTGCGGCAAAGTCTTGATCATAGTCATGTACAGCTATGTCAAGCTCTGTGGTACAGTTTCTCAGAAATATGAAAACTCTCTTTCCATATGTGGAAAGTTCCCAAAATGCACGCTGTTCCCAAGTGCTTGGACCGTCATGTGTACGTACTTGCCTAAATTACATCACGTCTGAACAATAAAATTCCTTAAAAGAGTTCTGTAATCACGTCGAGCGTCTCAATATTTTGAGCTGAAACATTCTGACGAGCTATTAGGTTGATTTCTCTACATTTTGGCTTTTGGTTAGCATACATAAAACCACTTTATTTCGTGACTGCCTCTTTACAATTAATGTTAGATATTCCTGACTGGGTTGTGTGTAGGACTGTTAATTCTATTTGACGGATTTAAGTTTACAATAGTAAAATCAAAGAGTAATTGTTGTCATAAATGATCTTACTGTTTATAATTCATGGCATCATTAATGGAGCTTTGAAATAAAATATTCAAAGGTATTTTTGGAATTTATTTTATACCAAGATAAAATTAAATGTAATGGGGTTTAACGTTGTACTTTCTTTTCTGACGCAACTGGGATAATGAATTAATGAATACCAGCTTATGCAATTCCGTCTGCTATGAGGGAACTTGCTGCACGAACAGTGGCGTTTCTACATCCTCTTCATCGATTCCAGCTGTTATGGGTTCTTGTACATGCCTGCAAATGAGTACACACGGCCATGGTTTTCTATCCCATCTGAATGACTAGACTGTTTATTGCCATGCCCCCCTCCCAACACCTCTGATAAGTGAAAACCACACCTAAAATTTCTAAGAAAATTTCACGTCCAACACTGGGACTTTCTGATTAGTGAGCAAGTACCTTATTGTCACCAAAACTGTGAGTAATGTATTTTACTAGAAAACCATGACTACCGGTACACCATACACCAATCAGTGAAACAATACCAACCAGCACTCTTAACTGTATGTGTTTGGGAAAGAGGTGGACTAAAAACAGGATAAAACCATTGAATTTTAATATTTTTTTTATTATTTTCTTTAGCACACATAAGATTTATTTACAAGAACAATTTCATAAATGATGTTTTCATAAAAGCAGCTTAAATGACAAATGTTTTAATAGAAGTGAATCATTTCATTAATATGCAATGTAGAACAGATAATGTGTGCCTCCATATATTTTCATTCTAATTTTTAAATACTTTTGTCTGATTTCTTGTTGGGTGTTTTTAGGCCTTAATGAGATATGAAATGTCCAAACTTTCTGCACCAACTGGGCTAATGAAGATGGACATGCCGTGTGCTATATGACGGACATTTTGTCCGAGCAGTGGCGTTTCTGTTTATTCTTTATCAGACAAGTATAAAGGTGGGTGTCAATCTTCCGCCCCATCAAAACAACTAGAAGCTTTTAGCACCATAGCCTAAAGGCCTAAAACTAATAATCTCGTGAGATGCTAATTGTAGGCCAGTTGGGGAGGTTCGGCCGCTTTATTATATAAATGATAATTTGGGGGAATATTAGGCCTAACCCTTTTTAGAAGACTAAACTTGGATCCAATTTATCTTTTACTCTTCTTAAAAGGGTTCGGGTTAGTATTCCCCAAAATACTCATTTATATAAAGCGGCCATTTTGGACTCCGTAAATACCTAAACTTCCCCAACCGGTCTACAATTGGCATCTCCCAATAATTTCTTGAAACGCTGCCATCTCAAGAATTGAAAAATAGTCAAAACACCTGTAAACATGTACAATTTCTTTGATTTGTTTTATGGTACATAATAACTGATTCATCATAAAGAAGACAATGAAAAAAAAAAAAGAAGTAAAATATCCACACTATTAAATATAATAACATTAGAACACTGCATTTTTTACAGTTAACCCAACCATTCAAATTACAATTCTATTTCATTAAAAGCAAATAATACATAAATGTTATATCTACCATATTATACAATTCTGCTAAATGACAGAAAAACACATGAAAAGCGCTTTTCCGAAATTATTAAAACTATACCAATTTTATTTCTGAAACAAGTTCGACTACGCCTACAAAATTTCTGAGTTTTCTCTCAAGTTAGTGTAATAACAGGTGATTCCAGTCAAGCTCAGGTCATGATCGACTGATTCTAGTGACAAGTCAAGTTGCGGTCAAGATCGATTGATTCCCGTGACAAGTCAAGTTACAGACATGATCGATTGATTCCCGTGACAAGTCAAGTTACAGACATGATCGATTGATTTCTGTGACAAGTCAAGTTACGGACATGATCGATTGATTCCTGTGACAAGTCAAGTTGAGGTCAAGATCGATTGATTTCCGTGACAAGTCAAGTTACGGACATGATCGACTGATTCCTGTGACAAGTCAAGTTACGGTCATGATCGATTGATTCCTGTGACAAGTCAAGTTACGGTCAAGATCAATTGATTCCCGTGGCAAGTCAAGTTACGGACATGATCGATTGATTCCTGTGACAAGTCAAGTTGCAGCCATGATCGATTGATTTCGGTAAACGAACTTCCTAGAAGGAATAAAAACAACAGAGGAGAATGCAGCAGCGCTTAAACCAGGTATGGCAAAGACAAACTTATTAAACTGTATACCAATAATTTAAAAAGAATAATCTATTCGTGCTTTTACCCCCATAGAGTTTGTGTAGTTCGAATAACATGTAGCCAGAGAGTTTACCACTTGAACCATACAAAAAACAACCTAGATTCTGATAGAACTTCATCAGCAAAGACATAATGACTATTTACTGGATGACTATTGTTACTACTGACATACCTGGGTTTGTATATCTATGTTCGTACAGACTCTGTTTATTTTACTGTACATGAGTACTGTACTGTACATGAATATTTGGTCAGAACAAAACAGCACATAGTATCTGGCTGTTTGCATATACAATTCATGCAAGGACCTTTGTAGATAAAACAAGAGAGAGAGAAATGGGGTTTAACATCCACTCGACACAAAACAGGTCATTTCGGGACTAATATATGGTTCAATTTTATTTCCATAATTCGCTTGCGCGTAGGGGTCTTTAGCAATGGGAGGAAACCGGAGGACCCGGAGAAACCCCACGAGGTTGGACAGGCGACCCTACTCCTTGTCACGTACAACCAGGGAACCGAAACCACGACAGTTGACTGAATGACAGACCTTATGACACTGCGCGCACGCACTAACCATTTGGCTATCCGACACCCCTGTAGATTAAACACTTCAATAGTTTCTGTTTAAATTTATATGTATGCCCTATATATTGTACCCCTGTATGTATAAACAATAAATGAGCATAAATAGCCCATGATGATAATTTAACATAAATCAACTGATGTCCTTAAATTTCATGTATGATACAAACAATAAATCATGGGATCCCTAAAACTTCATTAGTCTGAATTAATTAGTTAATATCTGGTACATATTTACAAAATGAATCCTACCTTATAAAGTACATACCAAATTGAGATCATTACCCCAGCCAGTCTAAAATGTCTCCTCAATGACTACAACGAATATTTGCCATGATAAAAAAACATAAATATGTATATGGTTATCATCTGTTTAGCAGTTCATCTATAAAATTCACACAAGGGGTGAATTAATCATAAGACATACAAGAATATTTTTATATACGAATTTGGTGCTATTTTCGTCCAGATTAATATTGGTCATAGTCCAAGCAGAAACACCCTAGACCCGGTTTCACAAAGCATTCTCAGATTTAAGTTAATGTATCAAATACATCAATAAGAAACTATCTCCAAATTTTTTGTGTTTCTGGATCATAGATATTTCTCATAGACAGTGATTGAAAGTTGAGTAAATTCTTAACTTAAGTCTAAGAATGCTTGTAAAACTGGGACCAGACGGGGGCAATTGAGACCAATAATCAAGATAAATTTTTCTTACAATATGCAAATATAAACCAATAGAATATAGAATATATTTTGGTCCAATGTCCCGATTAAAGCTTCTGATCGTTATTTGTATTTTTGGGACAATATCTGGCTTAATCCATGATAAACTGTACTCAAATTGATTATTACACATTCAATTAAATATCAATAGTTGCCAACCATTTTTTGACTGATATTTATATGTGACCGGTGCCAGCAAAATCAGTTACTTCGGTCACTTCACCAAAATCAAGTTCCATACATTTCCTCAAAGCCACAACTGTAGGCTTTAAAATGCAATTTTGGACTGATATTTATACATTTCCTGAAGGCCACAACTGTAGGCTTTATAATGCAAGAAAAATTGCTTTTCGGACTATTGGTTGTAAAATTATTTGATGTGAAATAAACCACTACTTTCGATTGTTTTAGGGAGAATCTTGATCATGTATCATTCAACATTCCTTATCAAAATCAATTTTTGAGGCATTTAGATTTCAAATAATTAAAAAAGATATAGAATTTTGAAAGAAACGATTTCAAACGGTTGTTTGATGATAACTGAAAATCATTAATTTCACTACTGACTGCAGTACATATAGCCTATAGCGCAAAATGAATGAATGCGACTTCCGACTGATTTTGCTGTCACTGGTCACATAGAGATCCATTTTCACAATATTGTAATTTGCAAGGGATTCAAAATCCCTCGCATGAAGATTAGTGGCTTTATTAAAGAACTAAACAAAACTATAAAATCATGGACTATTCTAACTCAATCCAATAATTATAGTAACAAACTAGCAATGTTTTTAAAAAATACATCAACAACACCCTTGGAAAGAATAAACAATAATTTGATGGATTACAATTCAATAAATGTATATGTCAGCACTTTTTAAAATATGATAATTGATCAATTTTGTGATATAAGAAAATAGAATTTATGCAACTCTTCCTAACTCAAACTTTCAGGGGTATTCCCAAAAGTAATTTATTTTTTCACACACAAATCCTTGAAACATTTTAAATACCACTTCAAATAAAAAACACAACAACAAAATCTAAGCTTAAACCTATCTTATCTAGCACATTAAATGAGTTTTTTTATAATTAATGATGTAAATGTTTGTTCCTCATCGATCATATAAAAATCTTGAGGTATTCTATTTGTTGAAGCTATGGTATTTGAAATAATAGACTTTGTCTCTTTGCATGTTTCTCATGTATTTGACACGTCATTCAATCTGTATGGCATAAATTTAAATGCAGTTACATCCAATATGTTGTCTTTTTTTTTCTAAAATAGCTTTTGGTTCCTAAAAATATGAAATAGTAAATTTTCTTGAATCAATTATAGCTCTGGATGCTGTAAACGTATCATACGTAAAAAAGGTTCTTTTGCAAAATTTTTAAAAAGAGGTTTTAGTTCCTAAAAATATGAAATATTTATAATTCTTGAATCATTTATAGATCTGGATGCTGTAAACATATCGTTTGGTTTGCAAAATTCTTAAAAAGAGGTTTTATGAAATATCTAAATTTCTAGAATCAATTAAAGATTTGGATGCTGTACGTAAAAATTCTTGGTTTGCAAAATTTTTAAAAAGAGGTTTTAGTTCCTAAAAATATGAAATATTTAAATTTCTAGAACTAATTATAGATCTGGATGCTGTAAACTTGTCGTTGGTAAAAATGCTTGGTTTTAAAATTCTTAAGAGAGAGAGAGAGTTGCTGTTTTATATTAGCCATGTATATATAATGGTGTTGTATAACTGTGTATTGGTGTATGTCTTGTGGTTGTCTATGTACAATATGTAGATAAAATGATGTGTAACAATAACAAGTGAAGATGATGGACTGGGACAGGACTATTTCTCATCTACTGCCTCAGCTTCTTCATCTAATTTCCTTGCTGCTGCTTCATCTTCTTCTTCATCACCTTCCTCATCTTCTTCTATTACTTCTACTTTATCTATTCAAAATAAAAAAAATACATGATTTTAAGTTTTCGTTACAAAATCAGTATGACATAGTTGTAATGATAGTCGTGATTACTATGTCACTTGTATAATTCCTTAAATGAGTTACGTAACCTTACGGCTAGCCCCAGTTTTCTGCCCCACCTGGGTTAATGAAGACAGGTTTACGCCATACAGCTTGCCATGATGCTAATTTAGTCTGGACAGTGGCTCTATGGCCTATTCAAACTGTCAAGGGTTTTTTAATGTGCACACCAATGTGTACACAGGACCTTGGTTGTTCATCTCATCCGAAGGATTAGACACTGTCAATGCCAAGAGTGTTTTATTACAATATAAATTACCTGATGATTCATCTAATTCATCATCGTCATCATCTTCATCATCATCAACATCATAGGGTTCCTCATCATCTGTAAAGGATTAAATATATACATCAAAACTTAAAACCAACAACACCCTGACAACACTCATACATAAGTTATAATATTATTATATCAATGCAGCTGTTATTTTTATTAATAATAATAATAACTGTTGCATTTTATACTTAATTAATCTAGCTAGGTCTACATATATTGGATTTACATACTACAAGACTTAACATACAAGTTTATTTTTCTGCAGTTATGTAAACATAACAAAAGGAAAGACCTTTGACTGAGCAGTGGCATAATCATCTACTGGTGCTGTTGCCATTCATTAATGCATCAGATGGCTATCATGTAACTTTCAATTTTGCTGATGAACAGTCAACAGTCAACAAATTTAGTGAAAACGTATGAGAATAAAATGACAGTGATACGAAAAGAATGCTTTGAGCTATTCCCAACACAAGGAAATTGAGTTTTGACACAGTCATCTATGGAAAATTTTAGCGAAACTTTTGTTGACATGTGCTTTTTAGTCCGCCACAAAGCCATAAAATAAAAATAATTCAACACATTTTCCTTAGGCAACACAAATAAAATAAGTTGTTTTTCGGGCACCACCCGCACGCAAAATTGGTTGCGCGTGCGGCCAATTTATTAGTCTTGCCGGCTTCAGTCGGTCCATGTTTGAAAAAATCCTACTTATAAAACAATGAATCGTAGAACAGGTTAATTATTATAACTTGTGGCTACGAATACGATACGATGATAGTCACCATACCTTAGTCAGAATCTGGGTCATTAGCACATTTAACGGTAGTTTTGATAATCCGGAAAATAATAATTGGATTACACATTTGATGGTTTTACTGACGAGTTGTTAGTTAAATTTAAATAGTCATTCGATATAAACCCCAGATAGAACACCGAATATCCTGTGAAACACACTGAATATCCTGAGAAACAGTCATTTCCCGAATCCCGATGACACATGACATGCATTGGTTGGAATTAGGTCAATCATTATAAACCAGCGATACTAGATTTAGATCTAAGTGTCGTTTACCATGATGATTATTTTTGATACACATGCTGACAGAAGCTTACTCTTTAAAATATTGTCGTTATTATGGACGGCTATTAATAGTTGTACGGAATTTTATTTTAAACCAATTTCAATTATGGTTGTCACCATTACCATTAGAAAGCTACATTACGTGAATTAAATATGGAAAATTATTTTCCTTTCAGTCAGTGTTCAGTGTTTGAGTAGACTTGATTTTTGGGTTTATGTTCTAAGTATGTATAATATATAACTGAAAGCAAAACCGTAGACAAGTAATGACTTTCTCATTAAAAAAAAAAAAAAAAAAAATACAAGGCCGCCCTCCCGCCCCAACAATTTTCAACAATAGCCAAATTTTATTTTGCACCATCCTCTAGCCAGAAATGAGGTAAAAAAAAAAATAAACCGCCCTCCCCTCCTACAGTTTCAGCTGTCAGTTGCCCGAGAAACAAGACATTTATTTTGTGTAGCCTTAACATGGCAACAACTAAACACACATACAAATCTTGTCAACCACAAAGCCATTAGCCCTGGGAATTGGCATATACCAATAACAACCTAATTTATGTAAACATCATACAATAAGAAAGGATAAAGCTATCTAAACAGTCATCATACCATCCTCATCTTCAACAACCACAACTGATTCATCGTGTTCATCATCATCATCTTCATCATCCTCATCATCATCTTCATCACTATAATAATCATGTCATGTTAATTCATATTAATTATCATCAGCCTTTTCAAGAGATAAAATTGGTTCGCAGTTATACAGATACTTGTGTTGATAGAGAGAGAGAGAGAGAGAGGGGAATGGGCAGCTCAGGACCAACACATGGCTCAATTTTATTTCAGAGAGAGAGAGAGAGAAATGGGGTTTAACGTCCACTCGACACAAACTAGGTCATTTCGTGACTAACATATGGTTTAATTTTATTTACATAATTCGCTTGCGCGTAGGGGTCTTTAGCAGTGGGAGGAAACCAGAGGACCCAGAGAAAACCCACGAGGTTGGACAGGCGACCCTACTCCTTGCCACGTACAACCGGGGAATTTTATTTCAATAATTCGCTTGGGCGTAGGGGTCTTTAGCAGTGGAAAGAAACCTGAGGAGCTGGAGAAAAGCCACGAGGTTGGACAGGCGACCCTACTCCTCGTCACATACAACTGAGGAATTGAAACCAGGCCAGTTGACTCAATGACTGACCTTATGATACAGCGCGCACTCGCTAACCATTTGGCCATCCACGCCCCAGTGGTTAAAAGAAATGAAAATGAAATAAAAAGGGGTTTAACGCCCAACTGTTCTGCTCCAAACTGGGCTAATGGTTAAAGGAGGCAAGTCTCTAACTGCATATCATCCAATCCAAAATCTTCGACATTACAAAACTGATTTATTGGTCAATCTAAATCAACATTGATGTTGTTATCTTACCATGAAAAGATGGGCTTCTGATATCCAATATTAAGACAAAATGAAAATTTCAAAATTTCGAGCGCTGGGACATTGCAGATTTGAAAACATATAATGTAACTAACCTCACTCCATTTTCTCCTACTTCAATATCGGGAGCCAAAAAGTATTGTAATGGGTTTGGCCACATATCATCTTTTAATACCTGAAAAATATATTTACAAAATATTCAGTGACTTAGTTCATGTTCCAGTGTAGAAACTACAAATTTTGGAGTTATGTCCCTTGAGGTCAATGTCACAAATCTTAACTACCAGTAATTAGTCCATTTGTCAGAGTTACATGCAATTATTTGCAATGTGTTTCCAAATCCGATATGTGCATCTACATTTTTCTTATGTTAAATCTTGTATTTTAGCATCAATAGACCTATCAATTATGATTTTTCTTAACAAATTTCTTAAGGTAAATTTTTTTACATAAATACGACTCTCAATGTATGCAATCACTTCAGACAGCAATGTGTACCAAGCTCAACTTCTCTTAGCTCTTTCTCTCCTAAATTTTTGAAAGTCAATAGGGTTCTTACTTATTCACTATAAAAAACAAACTTATGGAGTTTGAAAACATTTTATCAAGAACTCTGTTATGCATCTTGTTCACAAGATTTGAACATCAATGGGCAGATAACTCCAAAATGCATAATTTAAATTTTCTGAATTGTACCCTATGTTTCTCAGTAAAGCACCTAATTAATAATCCCTCCAAATTTTAAACAAATTCCATCAAGAATTGTGTCCTGTATTGCAGTCACAAGCTTTAAAAGTCAAAATTTGACCTGTGATTTTGGAATTTTGTCAAGTACATTTGAAGCACCTAATTTTGAAATTTAGGATTAAATCTTTACCTCGGCTATTTCATCTATAGATGGATCAGTGTTGTCTGTAAACCAAGTAAAGAAACTACCAGCTACCCCATATCTTCGTTTACGATTTCCATTTGTTTGATTCTTTTTTGCTTTCTTAACTAAATCCATCCCATCCTTCCATTTTATCTCAGTAGACGTTGATACAGGATCACCTTAAATATAAGGAGAAGTCTGCATTTTTAAAAAAAAACAAACCAATCAATGGCTAGTGCGATACAAATTCCATTTTTTTAATAGCAGCAATTTAGCTTTGTATAAATATATGTCACAAGATTTTGAATTCCAGGAAAAGCTTTGAACTAAACTTATAACACACCTGATGAACCCAGATGAAATTCTTTTGTAAGAAGGTCATTTGAAAAATAAGGATTGGAGGCAAAATGAAAATTTATGTTATATCCTGATTTGATGTCTTCAAACTCTTCCACTTCAACCTGCAAACAAAAAAAAATAGAAAATGAGTTTTAAAATGAGGATCAAAGTTCATTTAAAAGGTTTTACTTTTAATTATTAATTTCTTGAGCAATATAAATTTGTAGTTATGGTACCTATAATACTCGCTATTGGTCATATCCGCAAGCAATAACAGACTTCATTGAAATAATAAATTGTTACCTATTTTCATACTATACCTTTTCTAAAAACTGTAGACATTCTTCATCTTCTTTGTTTAATATAACAGATATCTGAGGATGATTTATAAACTGTACAAGTTAAGACAAATAAAAAATACAAGCAAGGGGCCATTTTGACTCTATAACCCGGTGTACATTACAAAACTATTCAAACATTTACAAGTAAACTATAATGGTTCTATGAACAGAATGCATTCCATTCAGTATTTCCTTTAAAAAAAAAAACAAGCCATTTTTATTCAATAAGCTGACACAATACATATTCTGATTTGAACATAGATAGCGGTTTATGAACCATATATGATATGTACCAGTACTTGTGAAAATCCATCAAAAATTTTAAAAAATAGGAAGCATCTAAAATTCAACCTTTCGTAGTCTCTGCAATCTACAAAGGCTTAGTGCTTGTTTAGTAATACTATAGTAGACATAGTCACATGGTGTTAGCCCTACACAAGTAGGACAAAGAACAGTTTAAATAAAAAGATACAGCCGTCATCCAGAAATTGGGTATTTTCTGAATCAATTTATTTCTAGCTTCAAAGTGTGGCTTCCGTAATTTGTTGTATTTTTGCTCCACTTGTAAAATTTCTTCACTGGCTTTTTCATTCAAGGCATCAATTTCTGTTTGGCAGGCATCAATATCTTCAAGAGCGGTTTGTGTTTCCTTGTCAAAGTCCCCAGTAGAGGAATCGAGTTTGTCGCTTTCATCTTCTGGAGCAGAGAGTTTCTGAATTTTAGCTGCCGATGCAGAATCGCCTGACATTTTTTTTCTGTTTATTAAAATTATGAAGTAAAAACTACAAAAAGTTTACCATCACGTTTTAAAAAGTCTGCGAAATGGAAAGATTAATGAAGTGCGCATGTACGAATCAGAACTACCGGTTTTAGCAAACTTATCAGTGATTGGCTAAAACAAACATTTCTTGAGTTTTCCCCAAATTTTAACCAATGGAAATATAGAACACAACAGTGTTCGGAACCGCAAGAACAGCCATTTTTGTTTTAGAAAGAAAATGTCGGATGAAGATTTAGCTGAGTTGCGTCCTGATGATAACAAAAAGGGCAATATCTTCGAAATATTGCAGAAAGAAGCCAAATTAACAGCGGAAAGTATTGAGGCACGCGATCAGAAGCCTTACGAAGGAATTGCCACAACAAAACAAGGCTCAGAATTCAAGCGAGATCAACATGGATTTCGTAATTTGCCAGGCTTGAAATGTCCTATCGTTTCCAAATCGACAGACGATGCAGTTGAAGAATGTTCTCAAGAGCTCAAAGAATCTCCAGAATCAAAGCGACCAAGATTATCTATGCCAGTAGTATCTCCAATTTCTACAACAGATGCTTGTATTAGTCCCGAATCTGGTAAACGCAGAAGAATACAACATGATTATCGTAGTTTATCAAGATCAGGTTATGTTGATGATTATGAAGCTAGAAAAGATCAAAAAAGATTTTCTAAAGGAACCGATTCTGATACATCAATAAACAGTAATTCACTCTCTCCAAGATCAAAGACATCATCACCGAAAGCAAAATCACCCATATCCTTTTCTGCTGGCAAAATGATTGGCAGTACAACAGAAGATGACACCGCAGAAAAAATCCAAACACAAACAGTTTCAGGTACCTGTATCTAGTACATTTGTATAAAGTTTTGTTAGAATGTTAATGTTTTGATTCAGTGTACAGAACAGATAGAGAATCTGTCATCTAAGATTTTGTTCTGTGATGGGGATGAACCATTCCATACCATTCTAAATCATGATCACTATCAATCATGTTTACATGTACAATGGATACTTATTAATCAGAGATGGTCTAATAAATGATTTCAAATTACACTGTAAAATTGTCATTTTTTAAAATTACATGTATCTCTCTTTGTAGATGTACCAGAAACTACAAATACTACTCCTGTTCCGATCCAGTTGGATCAAAAAGCACCAGATGATGCCACAAATGACAATCAGGTGCCAATAATTAAAATAGAACCAAACATAGAAGAGATAATGGATTATCGTCCCGCAGGCACTTACATATCAAGATTGGATCCCTTACGTAGACTAAAACAACAAGAGAATCAAAGTGTGATTTCTAATGTGTGTAGTATTGATCCAGGGGGAAAGAAGCCATTGGTTGTAACTAATGGAAACACAAACTATAATCATGTCTCAATCTCACCCGTAAAATCTACCTCTGTTCAGTCTCCGAGGACACCTAATAAAAAGAGAATTGTATTTAATTGTGGTGTGCAGGTTAATCTTCGAAGACGGACTGAAAGCAAAGGTGTCCAAGTATCATCATCTTCATCGTCTCATCATCATAAAGACAGTCACACAAGCCATAAACACATTCTTGTTGATTCAAAATCGAGCAATTCATCCAGCTCCTCAAAACATAGGAGTCGAGTATCATGTGGTACTCAAACTCATACATCTAAATCCAACTCAGGTTTACCCCTTGACTTTAAGACTGAAAAGAGTGATCATCATAAATTAATATCGGATTCTTCAAGTGAACTGATCATAAAAAGGGAAAAAATTGATCATGTAGAGTTAAAAACTGATGTAAATTTCCACATGACAGACACCAAAATGGTTAAAAGTGATCGAAAAGCATTCGATTGTGGTCCCAATTCTCTCTCATTTCCCTCCAAATATTCAAAATTTATTCATGTGGAACATTATGCTAATGGTGGTGCAACGGTTATTCATGCATATCAGGAAGAATTATCAGTTTTAAGTGATGAAGAAATGAATGAATTCTCCGACGAATTCTTCAAATTAGTTTATGGTGAAACCAGTGAAGGCGTGGCCAATTGTGTAATGGGGATAGTGCACAATGCGGCAGCATATTTACCTGATTTTATTGATTACTTTGCAGACTTATATCCCCATCTCACTGTAAAAACGGATGTGCTCGGTAAATCAGACATTGAAACTACAACCATGCAAAAATTCAGGGAAACTGTCCAAAAATCATACTGCAACGGAACTTTCCGATCAGGTCCATTACTGCAGATTAGTTTAGTTGGAACTGTTCATGAAGAAGTAGGAGATTATTTTCCTGATTTTCTTGGAATGTTGGAAGATAGTCCATTTCTCAAAGCTGTGATGCCCTGGGGTCCATTATCAGCTATTAAGATCTCTCCACAAGAAAGTAATGATGGTCCTATATTATGGGCGAGACCAGGTGAACAGCTTGTACCGACAGCTGACTTACCCAAATCACCATATAAACGAAAGAAGTGAGTATTTATTACATGTACATACTAGAGAACATACATGTAGGAGATCTTATTAAAACACATTACAATCTGAGTCGTACATGTACATCAGTGGTTCTCAGCCTGTTTTTTTCCAATGACTCACCTTGGAACACATGAAAAATTAGCGGCACACTTGGTTAAATATATATGAAAAATATTTCAGGGCATAGACAACCATAGACACAGGCTACATGTAGTCATAGACACATAGAATGACTCAAACTAAATAAAGAAAAACACAGCTATGAACTTACTTTATTGTTGTGTTTGAATTTCATCAGTCAAATAGCTGGCTTCTTTAGTGAGGAATTTTCTTGGTGTGCCATTCAAAATTTTGCGGCACACTTACAGTGGGAAGATTTTGCGATACACTGGTTGAGAATCACTGATGTACATACACATGTATGTATAATGTTTCCTCTGCAGCCATGATGTTTAAAACTGTATTATTTAAAAACGAGTGTCTTTCCAACAATTATGAATTCAAGGAAGATATTTTGTTAACATTGATTTTGATACACTATATTTTGCATTACTGTCACATTAGAGATATTAGGCATTAATGTATTTACATGTATGAATGTATAATTTCAGGGGTTTAACAGAATTGATGCGATTAAGTCATGTATCAAGAGCTAGTGAACCTAGAGAAGTGTTGGTAGAAGATAGAACTAAATGTCATGCTGATCATGTTGGACAAGGTTTTGATAGATTGACAACTGCTGCTGTTGGTGTTCTTAAAGCTGTCCATAATGGTGATAAGTAAGAAAATACCTTCAACATATTTTCAAAGAAAATTTAACAGTTAAAACTGTGTAGTTCCAACACTGTACATGTGCTACATGTATATTAACAGTCAATGAAATGGGGTTTAATGTCCTACTGTTCTGCTCCTACTGGGCTTATGAAGACAGGCGTAGGCCATACAATCTGCTATGAGGGAAATTTTGCCTGGACAGCGGCATTATGGCCTACTCTTATATTAAATTCCAACTGTCATGGGATCTTTTACGTGCATGCCAATGTATACACGGGACCTTGGTTTTTCGTGCCGTCCAAATGACTAGACAGCTGTCCTTGCCAGGCCCTCCATCATGTACCATACAGTCTAATGAATATCAGGATTAGAATATTAATATATTGATCATTTCAGTAGCAATTGCACTGCACATTAAAGGACAATATTGGTGCCAGTCATTATCACATATGTGATAGCACTGGTTAAACACATTCCAGATATAATTTTAACACATGCCCATAATCTTGTTGTTTATGTGTGATTTACATTGTCACTTTGTAAAGTGCCCCTGAACATGTTATATGAAAGGGTGCACTATAAATATGCTGTAATAATAATAATAATAATAATAATAATAATTCCTACGATAGCTGAGTAATACAGTTTTCCAGAATCGAAAGTGACGAACGCCAAAGGAAAACAAGAGTCGTCTCTCTATATAACTGACTGAAGCAACGAGTGATAACAGATACATGGCCGAATTTCTGCTCACTAATAATTCATTCGAAGACGAAAAGTTGTTGTATGAGATTGTGAGAGGATATCTGACAATTCATAAAAAGAATTGACTGCCACTAGATAAGTGAAGACGAAAGAAAAACAGAAAAAGTCTGTGCATTACCATGTTTTTATAAGATATAGAATGAATATAAACAAGGGAATGTACGGACTATTTCTATTTTTCTTGTCTTCTCTTATCTAATGACATTCAATTACTTTATTTAATTGCCAGGTATCCTCTTACAGTCCCATATATCAACTTTTGGTCTTCGAAGGAATTATTAGTGAGCAGAAATTCGGCCGTATATCCATTATCACTCGTCACATCAGTCAGTTATATAGAGAGATGACTCATGTTTTCCTTTGACGTTCGTCACTTCCGACTCAGGAAACCTGTATTACTCAGCTATCGTAGCAATGATCTCTGTGTTAAAATTATATTTGTAATGTGTTTAACCGGCTCTATCACATATGTGATAATGACTGGCATCAATATTGTCCTTTAAAGCAAATTCAAACACTAGTAGAACTAATGTAGGGTGGTCTACGGAGGCTTACATGTTTATTCAGCAAATGTGAACACCTCGTGAGCTGAATGACACTGTCATCAGATTTACTTTATAATAAGAGCACAGGTGAATTGGGCAAAGTTTAATCAAAACAGAGTCTGCATCTAATGGGTTTAACATGACCATTTCAATTGAATCACATGTTCGAATAGCATTTGAATAATGACTTAAAATATTTCAATAATAAAATCAGCATTTAATATGACCACTAATGAAATTAGATACCCAACTGCAACTAAATTTCCAGAAAGCAACAAAGACAAAGATTGAATCAAATAATCTACCCATGGATATTTTTGACAAAATAAAAAACACTTTTCAAAAAATGTACTGCTTTAAAATATATAAATAACAATTATATTTTTTAAATTTTAGAACTGGGGAGAAAAGAATAGTTAAAGATGTTATTTGTTTTCATGCGGGTGATTTTCTGGATTTAGCAAGTAAACTTCAACTTGATCTACATGAACCTCCTGTTTCTCAGGTAACACAGAAATATATTAAACATCTTTGTCATGTTATAATTAAAATAATATGGGCTGTGATGACAATTCAAACAAAATGACACATGGTCTGACATAACAGTGACATAGTGGCATTCTGCCAAATTTTTGTCAAATTGCTTCACTCTGAACCAAGATATTAGTGATTCAATTTTTAGGCTAGCCTTGAACGTCATTACTAACTTTGGTGTGATAATAAGTCTTGATTATCCATATTTACGTTGAATTGTCCATCACAAAATGTATTCAACAAATCCAGTAAATATTGCAAGCTAACGATGGCATTGAGGGTTGATTATGGTCTGGATGAGTTGATTGATGTGTAATTAATAATTTAGATACGTGTACATGTAACATGTCAGTCCTAAAGAAAGACCTACAATATGCAGATTTAGCACTTGCATAATGCATGTTTAATATGCATATTCATCATTTAGCGCTATTATATTAAAATGTCTATTGGTAACAACATATTCTGACATATATCAGCTGATCTTAGGTTTTCAAGATTGTTTTGGGAACAGGTGAATATGTTTTAGTCTGAAGTGTTTATGTGATTTATCTTTGGTTTGTAATTAGTCACTGTTTCAAATGGAAATTTTATTTCAATTTTTGTGTGTGTGTAGGGGGGGGGGGGGGGCGGTGGGCAGGGGGCTGTGGGGCATAACTTCAAATATGCAAGTTGTGAAAAAGGATACATGCTTGATTTATACAGTGTAACCCGGGTATCATTTAATCTTGTGTATCTAGCACTAATTTCTTTCAAATTCATTCAATATCAAATGTTTGTTTAAAAATGTGTACAAATCATTTAAAATCACCAAAAATTATCTAATTTGTACTTGTGTCCAGTAAAAATCTGACTGATTAATTTTGATAGTGAGTTTCCAATTTAACAGTATTTAATTTCCTGACCACTGTTCAAATATTAATCATTATACATCAATAATCAATTGGGATGCTTATTATTTAACAGTGATCGAGAAATTAAACGCTTGTAAATTAGAAATTTATTATCAAAATTGAATGGTCAGCTTTTTTAAATTAGTACAAATTAGATGATTTTTGGTGATTTTTACGAATTTTTAAACAAACATTTGATATTGAATGAATTTGAAAGAAATTAGTGCTAAATATTCAAGATTAAATGATACGCGGGTTACAGTGTATAATGTAGGATGTTTCAGATGGGAATCTTTGAAAATTTGAAGGTTTTGAAACCTGACAAAATAGCCTCAGAAAGCCAAGGGAGATAATCCGAAATTACAGAATCAATAAATTGATGGTTTTACAATGATTAATGATTGTTATTTCAGTGTATTACCTGGGTAGAAGATGCTAAATTAAACCAGTTACATAGAGATGGTATTCGTTATGCACGGATTCAGCTTCGTGATGATGATATTTATTTTATACCGAGAAACGTTATTCACCAGTTTAAATCGCTGACAGCTGTGGCGAGTGTCGCATGGCACGTTCGTCTAAAACAATATCACCCAGATCTGGCCAGTAATAACACTTCAAGACAAGAAAGTAAAGATGAAGAGAGTATAGATGCGGATTTAGCTAGTGAAATCTCAGTGAACATGGAAGACAGTACAGTGAACATAGAAGACAGTCTTACAAATGATAAACTGAAAGTAGACTTATTATCCTCTTCTACACCAGACAAAACTCATCTAGATATCGGACAGAAATGTGAAAATGAACAAAATGTTTTTTCTACCGAAAATGAAGACAAAGTGGCAAGAGATGACCTTTGATTGTTCGTGTTCGACTTGAGTTTTTTTTATATTAAATTTTGTAAAAATTACTTGGCTATGCGAAAGGTTGTCAGCAACTTTAGTTTTAGGAATCTCAGTTAGATTAGGGCACAAGTCAACTAATGGATTTATGTATTTTTGATGTTGACAAAATACCTTGACATGTGTACATGTATGTATAATAAGTTCATGTACAGTAATTTGTAACTTGACGATAAATTATTTGTAAATATAAAGAAATTTAATAAGAAATTATCAAAAGCATCCATATGTACATACCCACCTACTAACTTATATACACCATATTGTTTATGTATTAAAATATTAATTTGAATTTTCTGTACATACATGTAACTGAGTCGTACATGTATGGTTATGTATTAAAATGTTAATTTGAATTTTCTGTACATAACTATGTCGTACATATGTACATGTATGGTTATGTATTAAAATATTATTTTGAATTTTCAGTACATAACTGTGTTGTACACGTACATGTATGGTTATGTATTAAAATGTTAATTTGAAGGGTTATGTATTAAAATGTTAATTTGAATTTTCTATACATAACTGTTTTGTACATGTAATGATAAAATGTAAAGTTAATGCTGCACTTGAATCAGGGTTGTCATTACAAGTTTTGACGCAAGAAATGAAATGTGTTTTAACATCTTACTTTTCTGAAACGACTTGGCTGATGAAGCTAATGTAGGGTTGTATGAGGGAAATTTTGTCCCAGTATCACCACTATGGCCTACCTTTATTTTGAATTCCAACTGTCACAGGTTGTTTTACATGCACGCCAATGTGTACAAGTGACCTCAGTTTATCGTACAGAATGACTAGACACTGTCCTTGCCAGACCCTCCTGCAACTCTGACAAGTGGTAACAACGCCAGAATATCCTGGGCGTCGAAGATATTACTTGTAAGTTGATGCAAACAATGTTGTTAAGTCGGTATCTCATAATTACAATTACTGGTGTCTCTGGTAATTTTCAACATGGTTTCGCCATTTTCAGTGGTGCTGTACGAAGGGTCTTGCAAGGAAAAGTGTCTAGTTGCTTGGATGGGATGAAAAACTAAGATCTTATGTATATCATTGGGAACACTTTAAAGTTCCTGACAATTGGAAATTGAAAAAAGACTTAGTTCAAAGCAATGCTATCAGGGCAAAATTTCCCTCATGGTGTATGCATGTCTTCATTAGCCTGGTTGGTGCTGGGGGTTTGGATGGCCGAATGGTTAGCACGTGCGCACTGTATCATAAAGCTTGTCATTGAGTCAACTGGCGTGGTTTCGAATCCCCGGTTGTATGTGACAAGGAGTAGGGTCGCCTGTCCAACCTCCGGGTCCTCCAGTTTCCTGCCACTGCTAAAAAACCCTACGCGAATTATTGCATTAAAATTAAAAACCATATGTTAGTCCTGAAATGACCTAGTTTGTTTCGAGTGGACGTTAAACCCCATTTCCTCTCTCTCTCCCGGTTGGTGCTGAAAAAAAAAGTAAGACTTTAAACCACATTTCATTATTTAATTACTGTATAGTATGACTTATTCCAATGCAGCATAATTTTTTGTTATTTATATTCATTTACATATATGCATATGCATAGGGACCTCTCACCTTAAAGTGGTCCAATGAAGTTTAAGGTTTGGATTGACCTGGCTCTCAGTTGGGTTACTACTATAGTGTGATGTCCATGTGTAATTCCATTATTGTTTTTTTTGAGTTATTATTATAAATGGCATTTAGAACTGGATTTGAAATGATTTCTGAAAGAAGACTGCCTCGTTTCTAATTTTAGTTAGACGTTTATTCTATTTTAATAATACAGTTAGATCAAAGAACTTTTGTAGGAAGTTTTGTACATATTGAGCCAAACATTTATTTTTTTGAGATGATGGTTACTGTAAGTAGCTAATAAATTTGACTTGATAGTTTAGTTTTTATTGCAAACTTTTCATGATTAGGTATTTGTTGGAAATTTTGATTTTTTCATGGGGAAATAAAGAAAACCCATCTAATGAGATGTTAATGTCAAATACCTGTATTCTTTTTAAAGACTTGATACATCATTTAGCGCTATACCAATTCCTGGCGAACTACAATATAGTGAGAGTTTAATCTCTAATAATATGAACATTTGTATAGCGTCAATTCCACACTTAAAGTATGCTCTATGCACTTTCTACACACAATTTTAAATTAGATATAACGTTAAAATAGGTATGTTTTAAGTCTGGATTTGAAACACTCAATAGAAGGAGCACTTTTGATGAACACTGGAAGATCGTTCCATTTTGATGGAGCAAGAAAACTAAAAGCTCTTGCCCCAAATGTTTTCATTCTCCACCTTGGGATCACCAACTGTATTTGGTCACATGAGCGTAAACTCCGGGAAGGCTTGTAACTTTGAATTAGTTCAGTTATATATGATGGTGCTAGGTTATTAACACATTGATAGGTCAGCGAAAGAATCTTGAAATCAATCCTTTCCTGTATTCGCAGCCAGTGTAAAGAATTTAATTGTGGTGATACATGAGATGTTTGTGGGGTACGAGATACTATCCGAGCGGCAGTGTTTTGTATCAGTCCAAAAATAGTTCAATTCCGTTCAATATTTAATCAATTTGAGTAAAGTTTAGCATGGATTAAATGAAATGAAATGTTTGATGCGTCATTTACTGCTATACCAATCATTTGCAAACTACAATATAGTGAAATTTTAATCTCTAATAGGATATCAGTCTAAAAATAGTTCAATTTTGTTCAGTATTTATAAAGTTATGATAAATTGAAATTTCATTGATCTATGTTACTACTAGCTATAAAACAAGACACTGCAAGCTTTTATTGGAAACCTGATAGGCCTAGTTTAAATCCGATTTAATCCAATCCGGGAGATTATCTAGCGTTGGTAGTTTGATTTTGTCTTCTTAATTAAAGATACATTATGGGAGATTCGATAACGAGTTAGCAGTTCTCACTATAACAGTTAAAGACTAGATAATGTAAAGGCAATTTGCTGAAGATTTCATTCAAATTGATCCACTATGAACCGAGAACTTAGCGACTGAAATTTCCCCCTAGCCTCGGTCATCATTACTAAAGTCAGTACAATAAACAGCATAGTCTCGATTATCCATTTAATCGTTAAATCAAGAAGGAAAGTTATGCAGTAAATCGGCTCACAATCCACTAAAGATCGCAGGCTAGCGCTGCCATCTAGAGTTGATTATGTTCTGGATACGTTAATTAATGTCTAATTAATAATTTAGATAACATTTCAGTCCTAAAGAAAGACCTTCAATAGACAGATTTAGCTCTTGCATAATGCATGTTTAAGACGAGAGAAATTTGATAATGTAGCGAAAATGCAATTGGCGCATCAAGCCTTTTAATGTTTGATAAAGAGGAGCTAAAATTTTATTAACCTATAACACATACTTATGGAAAAAACCCAGCTACTTATTTATTTGGACGATGTTTTTTTAGAGTTATCTGTCAAGGCTATCAAGCTATTTTATTGTTGTTTTTTTTTTAAATCAAACTACTTCCCGATATAGATGTGTCAAAGGTTTTAGAAGAAAGAGTAGCATTTGAGAACTTTTTTCTGTACATAAATTTGTAAAATGTTAAAAGTTTTAACCTATGCACTAGTCGATCTGTGACATTTTGTACATTTTGTTATAAAGTCATAAATAATTATAATTATAGTTTATTCTGTAATTTTGATTGAAGAAGGTCAATGATATTTTCAAATATTGATGCACTTAATTTCTTCTTTCTTTTTTCCTTTTTAAAAATTTTAGAAGTGCCATTAGTGAACCAATTATTTTTTCACTTTGTGAGATTAATAGATTTTTTTATATTTTGCTTAAAAATATACATTACAGTATTTTATTCAAACATTGACATAGAGTAGCCCTCCTATTTTCCCCTTAGGCAGAATACAACATTTTCTTAATAAGCTATTTAAGTCACTTGAACTTTTAAGAATATAATATAATAAAAATATAATATAAATTTCAACCTTGATAAAATTATCTTTGCCTAATCTAAACTGAATGGTGTCTGGACAAAATGGCTATAATATAAATTGTAACCTCAATCAAATTATCTGCCTAAGCTACACTGATTGGAGTTTGGACAAAATGGCTATAGGGATGTTCTGGTATGTCTTACGATTGGTTGAGAAGAAAATTAATAATCCTGTATTAGAAATATGCGGAATGTATTGTTAACCGGCGTATGGAAACAACATTCATTGAATTAACTGTCTACGCGATCAGCCTGTTACCATATACACAATAGCTGTTATTTTGTCCAGACAATTTTTTTTTAGTCGAAGCCGAGACAATATAGGCTGGAATGATCACATCTAGGTCAGAAACTACAGAAATAGTCATAACTGCCATTTCATCGAATATTTGATTACTATTTAGAGTTATCCCCCTTTGTTATGTTAGAGACATGTACACTCCAGATTATGTATATATTAAGATATTTGAAAATGACACCAATTTGTTTAGTAGATAATTATAAAGTGCTTATTTTGGATGTAGATTTAATGTGTATATAATTTGATTAAATGAAGTTTTTTTTATTTCTAGTATTTGGACAACAGTGTTGATCACTCATTTACATAAAATCATTTCTAGATTTTATTTTATTGTCAACTTTTCAAATGGAATTATTTAAACATGCCTTTATTTAATGTTTCAAAAATTGTACGCTATAGAATGAACTATTTTTATCATTGATTTATATAGAATCATTTTGTAGACTGAATTTGTATTAATTATTTTTGATCACTAATTTGTAACGAATCATTACGTAGTGATTTTTTTTTTTTATGTAAAGTTTTGAATTTGAATTATTTACATGCCTTTAATCATTTTGTTAAAGAATTGGAGAGGGCGGATATTTTATAATATTAATGTATTAGTTTATTTTAAATGTTTGTTATATAAACAGAACAAAATAGATTACAATTTGCTGCAGTATTTTTTCATGTGAAATAATCATTTAAATTTTGTAACAAGTCTCTTGGTCTACATGTTTTTCAACCTACCAGTAATACATGTGTCATCATATTTTGTATAGTTTAAATGTTTGAATTTAAATTCTGTTAAATCTTAAATCCTTTTTGCACAGTTGCAGAAAAGTAGGACGTTGAACCCAATTTCATTCATTCATTTTGCACAGTTGGATCATTTTCTTTGAGTATGTTCACTTTACTTTTCTTACATGTCCATGTATTAGAAATTTTATACTGTGAACAGATTCTTGTTCAGCCAATACATGTTTTTAACTGGCTTAGTTTGTTGGATAGGCTGCTGGTATAAATTATATTGTTATTGATGCCTCACTCAAAATATTTTCTCTTGACATAGAATTCATTTTGAAGAAGAAAATTAAAATCAAAATAACACAGAATCTGCAGCTTTTATCTGGAATTTCAAGAGTTATTTAGTCAGAGAAAAACCCAGAGATTAATTCGTATAATTCTCCATACATAATTATGTAGGGAGAAATTCTTGAATTTGAAAAGACAATGTTGATCTTGGAATGTATGAACTTATAAAAATGAAATTCTCCCATTGTTCTGTGTTGTGTTATAAACATGTTATAAATTGTTAGCTTTATTATTTAACATCTTCACATTATCAAGTGGCAGACAATTCATATATTGTTGCTGGGGTAACTCTAGACAATTTATATGCTGTTGCTGGGACAATTCATTTGTTGCTAGGGTAACTAAACAATTTATTTGTTGCTAGGGTAACTCTAGACAATTCATATGTTGTTCCTTGGGTAACTCTATAGACAATTCATATGTTGTTGCTGGGTTAACTCTAGACAATTTATTTGTTGTTGCTGGGGTAACTCTAAACAATTCATATGTTATTACTGGGGTAACTCTAGACAATACATTATTTGTTGTTGCTGGGGTAACTCTAGACAATTCATATGTTGTTGCTGGCGTAACGCTAGACAATACATTCGTTGATGCTGGGGTAACTCAAGACAATTCATTTGTTGTTGCTGGGGTAACTCTAAACAATTCATACGTTGTTGCTGGCATAAATCTAGACAATTCATTTGTTGTTGCTGGGGTAAATCTAGACAATTCATATGTTGTTGCTGGGGTAACTCTAGACACTTCATTTGTTGTTGCTGGGGTAACTCTAGACAATTTATATGTTGTTGCTGTGGTAACTCTAGCCAATTCATATGCTGTTGCGGGGGTAACTCTAGACAATTCATTTGTTGTTGGTGTAACTCTAGACAATTCATTTGTTGCTGGGGTAACTCTAGACATTTCATATGTTGTTGCTGGGGTAACTCTAAAAAATTATGTTGTTGCCGGGGTAACTCTAGACATTTCATGTGTTGTTTCTGGGGTAACTCTAGACAATTCATATGTTGTTGCTGAGGTAACTCTACTATTTGTATTGTGATTACTTGATAATGTGAAGATGTTTATTTAAAAATGTTAGTTGTATGTTATATTTATTTGTTATATTTAAACATCAACTATTATATCTTATTGTATACAATAAAACATGTTTTAATATTAAACTACTACAAATACTGTATACAACTCTTCTTATAATTAATTATTGTATTAAAGACCCAGTCGTAAGTTTCACCATTGAGGGGTGTGTACTGTTTGGCGGGGTCTGATGGTCTGTCATTGAGTATGATGGTTGGATGGCCAAATGGTTAGCGCGTGCACGTTGTATCATAAGGTCTGTCATTGAGTCAACTGGCATGGTTTCTATTCTCCAGTTGTACGTGACAAGGAGTAGGGTCGTCTGTCCAACTTCTGTCTGTCGATCCCAGAGATAACTTTACCCATCGTTTATCTCTGGTTAAACTCGCCAGCCATTAATCAGCGTGAATTCGGTTGTTTAGTGCCGTGGAGTGGTTACGGATTGGCATGATTTGTTAGAATTTAATGCTGCCGATTTCAAGATGGCCTGCGAGTTTTACCAGAGATAGACGAAGGGGGATCGAGATTGCCCAAAAATAAGTTGAAGGTGTTGGATTTTAAGAACACACGGACCTGTTTTACGAAATTTTAACTATGATAAAATTCAAATTTTAGTAATTTGATTGGATAATATTAGATTGATTTTAGTGCTTAGCTAATCAAAATTGATTTACATGTATTTACTAAAATGCCCTGTGCATTATAATTTATAAGACAATTCCACAGAATTTCCATAGAAATCATTTAAAATACCGTTCTATAAAATGACACTCGGTGTTGTTAAGTCATGACTTAGGTCTGTCTTAATATCAAAAGGAATTCGTTTATTGCTAAATATCCACAGCTATAGTGGTTGTATTATCTATAAAATGTCGAGGGATTAAGTTGCTTAGATTAATATAATACATATAATGACGGTGGGGATTACTGGTACACGAGACGTTACTATACGCCATTTGTATTTACCTAACAAAAGCTTTATTGATCTCAAAGTATATTGTTATCTGACGACAACAAAAACACGTTCTTCTCTGTTTAAGTTATAATATATACCGAACACGGATTGGAACAAGGAAGAAATAGGTGGATTAATGCATTATTATTATTATATAGCACTTCATTACACATGCGTGTTTCTAAGCGCATTCACAACAAAACAGTTCAAAAGCAGTTTTGAAATAAATATGTTTTTAAGTTAGTCTTAAAGCTCGAATGGAAGAGGACTCTCGAAGAGTTTTTGGAAGATCATTCCACATTTTGGCTGCTCTGACGGAGAAAGCATATTCACCAGAACGTTTATCAATGCAACGTTTGAAATATATGGCTTAATGGGAAGTGGGATTAGGTATCCTAGAGCCTACAGGTAACAGATACCTTCGAAGTGTACGATATATAATAAAATGGCAAGTTGTGTTACGCCCCCAGGAATGATATCTCCCAGATTTTATCTTCATCAATGCACAAAAGTTAATTTATAATCGAAAGGCTTATTCTTTGACAGTCAGAACACCCTCCCACCACCTTCAGTCTGTTCTTGGGCCGCTCGTAGGAACGGTACGGATATATTGGGATCACATCACCGTTATCCCCTGTAAAATGTCATTAATAGTATGTCTAATTCAAATCACGGTTATTTCTTATCAGACATACGTATTAAACACAGTTAACACCTGTACACCATGCGATGGGAATTAACAGGTGCGAGATTTATGACTGCTGGTTTACGAAGATACTTGGTTGTATTATACTGTAGTAGAGTTAATGGCATATCGAATGTCGATAACCAATCAGATATAGAATACAATAGGTCGATATACATACACCTGACTTTCAACACTGGTCTTAAGTTGACGTGGATCATCATATCCTTTATACATTTAGAACTGAACTGCTACTAGGATTAAAATTAAGTTCAAAGAATTTAACGAAAGTCTAATGCTGTGTGAATAAATACTAAAGGATTAAACGTGAAAAATAACGATTGGAATATGTGCACGTTCATTAACAGGTATCAATCATCAAACGGAATACAATCGAGAATTAGTTTGTTGTGTTGTTGTTGTTATTGACTTCCCGTTTGAATCGTAAAAGAGATATTAAGCAACCCAAAAGAACTTATTATTTGACAAGATTTATGATAACCTATTATAAAAGCGTAAGTATTAATTAAATATCTTTATATTTAAAATCTAGAAATATGGGGTTAGAACAAAATCACAGTTAACAATCGTACTCCGTTAACAATAAATATACATATATACGGTATAGATTTACAAATCTTCATATTCACACTCTTCGTAGTGTTTCGTTTGGTTATAACTAACCCCACTCAGAAAGGGATTAATCGGACCATCGATTCAGGAACATACTACATACCGTGTTTCTTCAAGTTTAAAAATGTAAAATGTATGTAAAAAAGTAAATAATTCATTGAACTATTGCATTACCAGCTGTTTAAAGTATAAGATTTAAAATATTAATTCATTGAATTATTGCATTACCTGTGACTAATAATACATTTAGCTAGTACTCCATAAATTTATGTAGTATTTCATACATCTAGCTAGTATTTCATAGATTTATCCAGTATTCCATATATTTAGCTAGTATTCCATACATTTAGCTAGTATTTCATACATTTAGCTAGTATTCCATACATTTAGCTAGTATTCCATACATTTAGTATTTCATACATTTAACTAGTATTCCATACATTTAACTAATATTCCATACATTTAACTAGTATTTCATACATTTAGCTAGTATTCCATACATTTAACTAGCATTCCATACATTTAGTTAGTATTCCATACATTTATCTAGTATTCCACACATTTAACTAGTATTTCATACCATGGTTCAGGTATGCTACAAATCGATTCCAGCATGTTCAACACAGCGCAATATTTCTCCACATGTCACCTAAAGATATAAATATTGGTCTTTTGTACCCACCCCACCCTGTCCCGCACCCACGGTATCTTGTTCCTCAAATAAAATCATGGGTCACCACGCCCCTGCTTCGAGGTCAGCAGAAAATATACAAAAGTTTAAAATAAAAGTACAAACATTATGCACTAGCACAAATTCATAGCACTGACAAAATTACCAGATAATACTACAATAATACCTTACAAACATACCACATGTACATAACATACAAAACAAAACATGAGTGTGCATAGAATAAAGTAGATAATAGAATATTTAGTCTCCCCACATATATATATATATGCGAAGTAAACAAAGGCCATGACTCAATTATATAACACAGTAAACACGATTCTTACTCCATTATGTGAATAATCTCAAGATAGTTTTAAGAAATCACTAAAAACGTATCTCTTTCAAAGGGAGAGAGAGAGGTGGGGTTTAACGTACACTCGACACAAAATAGGTCATTTCGGGACTAACATATGGTTTTTAATTTTATTTCAATAATTCGCTTGCGCGTAGGGGTCTTTAGATGTGGGAGGAAACCGGAGGACCCGGAGAAAACCCACGAGGTTGAATAGGCGACCCAACTCCTTGTCACGTACAACCGGGGATTCGAAACCAGTTGACTCAATGACAGGCCTTATGATACAGCGCGCACGTGCTAACCATTCGGTCACTCCCCCCCCCCTCTTTCAAAGGACCTTCACGAATTAATGAATCATTAGTATAGTATATTTATGTACATTATTAATTGAACAGTGCCACTGAATGTATATATTGCAGTAAGGAGCGCTATATTAAATGTATTCTTTTAAGTGGTATTTAGTAACCGGGCAGATAAATAAACTATAAACATACTTATGGAAAACAGCTACTGATTTATTTAGGCGACGTTTCGAAGAGTATTCTCTCAACATTTTGTTGTTGTTGCCATGTATGGTTTCAACCTTGTTATTGTAATTTTGTCTATATATGTTGCGTCAAATTTTGTTATATTGTATTAGCTTGAAAATGTTGAGAGAATACTCTTCGAAACGTCGATTAAATAAATCAGTAGCTGTTTTCAATAAGTATGTTTATAGTTTATATAATAACCTTAAATTTATAACCAATACACTAATCAACATTATAGCAAAATACACAATGAGATACACGTAATACAAGACACAGTTCACGAGGGTTGACTGAAAAGTTGTAAGACTATCTGTGAAAAACCCGTACAAAGTCGATGGTTTCAATTTATTTTTCTACATAGTTCCCGTCGAGGTGAACACACTTTTGCCAACGATATTGCAAGGGCTAAATGTCGGTCAGGAAGAATTTTTCTTCAGCCCCACCCCAAAAACGACGACCGACTAGTTATTGTTTCATTTTTGGAAACAGGTCTCATCCATGCTTACAAATCTGGCCCAAAATTTATCAGGATCTGCCACAAAACAACACAGATTGTCACGGCACGTTAGTAATCTGACACTTTGTCATGCACCCGGGTAATGTTTTCTTGAATGGTTGCTGTTGATGATCTTCCAGGACGCGAATCATCGTCAAGGCTCTCTCTGCCACGCTTAAATACCGTAGCCCACTTCTTTACTGTGGAAAATGAAGGGGCATCATCCTTTAAAGTGGAGACCATGTCGGCGTGTATCTGTGTTGGAGTTAGTCCTTTCAGTTGCAGGTACTTGATGACTGTCCTATAGCCAGTTTGTCCATTTCTGATGGTTTCAATGGGTAGGTTCACAAGATGGTCTGGTACGAAGACAATAACAACACTACAGTTGCTGTTCTTATGTCTATGATTCATTCATTGATTGTACTTGTTGGTGGAACCAGCGGCTGCCAGGCAGGATACGCCCACATTTTCGAGAGATGGATAGAGAACAAGCTAAGAAGAAAGAGATTTTTCCTACAATCAAGGGCCATAATTCAGGAAATTACAATTCGATATGCGCAAATATCGAAAGGAACCGAGATCTTTGTGTTATTAACTTACATTTCAAGTTTCAACAAAATCGGATAAAAATTGTGACTTCTATAGAGGCCACAACTTTGATATACCCTATTTTTACGCTATTTGAGAACGAAGGGCGGCCATTTTATCTGTCAGTTTTGGGCCGATTTTCACGAAATTCGAACTCAGTCGTCCTTAGGGTTTAACGGTGATATAATGATATGTTTTTTTTTAAATCGGATAAAAATTATGACCGCTATAGGGTCCACAAGCTAAAAACGCGATTTTTCATACAATCAGGGGTCATAATTCCGGAAGTTACGGTCTGATATGCGCGAATATCGAAAGGAACCAAGCTCTTTGGGTTATAAACTTACATTTCAAGTTTCAACAAAATCGGATTAAAATTGTGACCTCCATAGGGTCCACAACCTTGATATACCATATTTTTACACTATTTGAGAACGAAGGGCGATCATTTTGTCTGTCAGTTTTGGGCTGATGTTCACGAAATTCGAACCCAGCCGTCCTTAGGGTGTAACGGTGACATAGTAATACGTTTTTTTAAATCGGATAAAAATTATGACCTCTAGAGGGTCCACAAGCTAAAAACGCGTATTTCCGTACAATCAGGAGCCATAATTCAGTAAGTTACGGTCCGATATGCGCAAATATCAAAAGGAACCGAGATCTGTGGGTTATAAACTTACATTTCAAGTTTAAACAAAATCGGATAAAAATTGTGACCTCTATAGGGTCCACATCCTTGATAAACCATATTTTTACGCTATTTGAGAACAAACGGCGGCCATTTTGTCTGTCAATTTTAGGCCGATTTTCACGAAAATCAAACTCAGCGATCCTTAGGGTGTAACGGTGATATAAATATAAGGTTTTTTAAATCGGATAAAAATTATGACCTCTATAGGGTCCACAAGCTAAAAACGCGATTTTTCGTACAATCAGGGGCCATAATTCAGGAAGTTACGGTCTGATATGCGCAAATATCGAAAAGAACCGAGATCTTTGGGTTATATACTTACATTTCAAGTTTCAACAAAATCGGATAAAAATTGTGACCTCTATAGGGTCCACAACCTTGATATACCATATTTTTACACTATTTGAGAACGAACGGCGGCCATTTTGTCTGTCAATTTTGGGCCGATTTTCACGAAATTTGAACTCAACCTACCTTAGGATGTAACGGTGAAATAATAATACGGTTTTTTAAATCGTATAAAAATTATGACCTCTATAGGGTCCACAAGCTAAAAACCGATTATTCGTACAATCAGGGGCCATAATTCAGGAAGTTACGGTCCGATATGCGCGAATATCGAATGGCACCGAGATCTTAGGGTTATAAACTTACATTTCAATTTTCAACAAAATCGGATAAAAATCGAACTCAGCTGTCCTTAGGGTGTAACGGTGATATAAATATAAGGTTTTTTAAATCGGATAAAAATTATGACCTCTATAGGGTCCACAAGCTAAAAACGCGATTTTTCGTACAATCAGGGGCCATAATTCAGGAAGTTACGGTCCGATATGCGCGAATATCGAAAGGAACCGAGATCTTTGGGTTATAAACTTACATTTCAAGTTTCAAAAAATCGGATAAAAATTGTTCCCTCTATAGGGTCCACAAGCTAAAAACGTGATTTTTCGTACAATCAGGGGCCATAATCCATGAAGTTTCGATCCGATACATGCCAATATCGAAAGCAGCCGAGATCTTTTGGGGATAACCCTATATTTCAAGTTTCGTCAAAATCGGATAAGAATTGTGACCTGTAGAGAGTCCACAAACAATTGTGGACGGACGGACGTCCGGACGGACAGGGGCGACGGCATAATACGTCCACATGAAAATGTTGGCGTATAAAAAGTTTGGTTCAACCCAAATGATCTATCCGTTTCATATGTAGAACTTTTTAGTCAGCCCCCGTAACGTAATATACAACTACTGTTATACACACTCTCAAATATACATCCTACAAATAACACAGCACAATATACAAATACACACCCTAAAACCAACACGGTACAATATACAAATATACACGATACATACAACACAGCACAATATACAAATATACACCCAAAAACAACACAGTGCAATACACAGATATACACGATAAATACAAACCAACACAATATACAAATATCGCATTAGCATTCCACGGTTTGGTCAATATATGTACACGGGCTGCATTTTTTATTATTCTAAGCGCATTTTACAGACTTCATTTTGAAAAAATTATGTTACACTTAGGCCTACTATTTATTTTCATTCATTTCATAAGAGGTTTAACGTCTTACTTTTTTGCCTCAACTATACTAATGTCCAAAAAAAAGTATAGACTGTGCATTTTGTGCTGCATCAACCAAAGTCGTTTTTCCATGGTATACAGTATTTGGGTAGAATGTCAATTTGTTTCACATTTTTATTTTGCTTAGAAATGTTGAGTTTGGACAGAAGAGACAAACTCAACAATGCTTTACCAAAACTTAGTCATACTTTTAGTGTGTATACTTTCTTTTGGACATCAGTATATGTTAATGAAGACGGTGTTTCATCGGACATTGGCGTTTCCGTTTATGTTCTTTTATGTACACGCTAATATACACGGGAGTCGGGACCTCTTTTTATTGTCTGACACGTCCCAATGGCGAGATCCCCTTTCATTGCCAGGCCATCCGTCGAGGGAGTGCGGGGGGGGGGGGGGGGTCAGGCTGGAAAATCTCAAGGAACCTCCTGGTATGGCCAGTGACACGGTACCATGTTCACCGAGCCACAATGGTTTCTTCATATTTTATAGCACAAAACGAATAATAGTTGTAAACATATGACACAACTTACATGACAAACATACAGCCCATTCTCAATGTGTATATTTTTACAGTCTACCTAGGTCGACTCTGTATTTTAATCGAGTCATTAATGCTCAATTGTTCATTGTTAAAAGGTATAATAAAACGTTGTTAAGTAACGTGTTTACTATCAAGTTGGTATTGAAGAGGTCAATACATTGTTACCAGAGTATATTGAAGTATTTACAAAAAAACTATTATACACTTATAATATTCACTCCACATGACGTAACGACAAATTACAAATTTGATTGGTGTCATATTTCTTGGTTATAAATGGACTAATGAAAACGGGAATACGCCATACATTGTTCTATGACAACGGCACTACGAATTCCGAATTCCAACTGTCAAGAGTTTATTCACGTGCACGCCATTGTGTACAGGGGGCATGGTTTTTTGTCCAATCCGAACGACTATAATGATTACAAATTAAAAGATTTTTGGTACTGATCAAACCAATCACACCCCTCCGCCATATGTCGTTTGACACTTCGCTGGCCATACTGCACACAGCGATGCATCTACTTCATACCTCGAGAATACAGGCGGAGCTAACTCTAGACAGGCAGCCTAAGTTTGGGAAGTTCGCTGGCCAATTAATAAAAAAACTGGGAACTAAGGCCCTAAACGACATTCAATGTACATAAAATAGTGTGATCAATGAATCAAAAATTAGTTATAGTTGGAGCCACGGTGGCTGAGTGAGCGAGTAAGACAATGACTCGATGCCGGGATTGGCCCGATTGGCCCGTCTTCATTAGCGCGATCTTTGCCGAAAAAGGGCAGTTAAACCCCATTTCATTTCTACACGACTGTAAACATATCACCGTGTTTTGATGTGCCGGAAACAGACATTTAAGCTGTCATCGTTTTATGGAGATTCTAGAAACCGTATTGCATACAGCAAAACAATTGCAATTTACTAGCTGCCATAATAGCATGTCCAGGTGGCAAAAATTATTTTTTCTCCTACTTTTTTGACATTAGGTTGATTCAGTTAATTGTAATTAACGCGATAATAAGATAATCAGCGATAAAAAGAGTACTTGTGTATACAGACTCTACGCACACATATAAAAATTAAAGTGTTCAATAACTGATATTTATAGTAGATACATTATGTGATCGAGTCGAATGGAATGGAATCTGGTTTAGCGTCTCATTAACACAATACTTCGGTCATTTTGAGACTAAAATATGGTTAATTCCCATGTGCAACAATGTTTGAGAAGAGAATATTGCTCGGACAGTGAGTGGTATGTGCAATGCGGGGGGGGGGGGGATATTTCTCTGGCAGTGGTGTGTGCTATGCTTGAGAGGCGAATATTGCCATGGCAGCCCCATGTGAAATGCTTGGAAGGAGAATATTTCTCAGACTGTGGCGTTTGCAATGCTAAGGAGAAGAATATTGCCCTGGCAGTGGCGTGTGTCGTGTTTGGGATGAGAATACTGCTCTGACAGTGGCGTTTCCGTCTTCCCTTCCATCAAATTCCAACAGTCAATGGTTCATTTAATTACACTCCTATGTGTAAACAGTGATGCTCGGTTTTGTTCCACCAGAACACACTGGGCACGCTTCTTCTCCATTTTCCGACGTGGTTTCCCCTTGTCAGTGGTGCAGGACGGAGGGCCTGTCAAGAACAGTTGTGTAGTCGAAAGGATGGGACGAAAAACCGGGGTCCCTTGTATGAATTAGCATGCCCGTAAAAGATCCCTTGCAAGTTTAATTCGATATAAGAGCAGGCCATAGTGCCGCTGCCCGGGCAAAATTTCCCTCATAGCACACAGTATAGCGTATGCCTCTCTTCATTATAGTCCAGTATAGGAGCAGAACAGTAGGGCGTTAACCCCATTTCATTTCATTTCGATTTTGTGTTCGGAATGTTAATATTGTCCAAATGAACACTTCGTGTTGTAGAATGTACAAGAGGTTGAATACCTAACACCCTTCACAATTTTGGCAAAAGAAATCTGTGTTTAGTCAAAGGCTTATATTAAGTAGCTATGTAGGTGCCAATGACAATATCAACGTAACAGGTCATTGTTTATGACCGTTACACCAACACATTAACAATCTTTTTTATACAGTAGTTTATGATCAGAAAACAGCCATTAGGAAAGTAATTCTCTGATTCGAGTAAGAGTTTATGTTGTTCTTGACATATTTCATTAGTTTCGAGTTATTTGTTTTGAATAAGGTCTTCTGTATTGTCGTTTTATATTTTTGACTGACCTTCAATTCAGGACAAATTTATGTTTAATTTAACCTAAAATACCTAATATCAGACGGAATACCTGGTCGCCCGAATCTCTACATTTCATTGGTTATCCAGAGCTTCCAGATTTCAATGGACAAACTCCCCTACTTTTATCAACAAGCGGAATATTTGAGAAAGTTTCAATCTGCTTTGTATAAATGGAAGCAAAATTGTAAACCAAATGTCGTCAAAAAAAATCTTATGAACCAAATGTCTTTAAAAAGTGAATTGGAGAATCTTATAAAACAAATGTCTTCAAAAAATATTTTAAGACTATGAGTGCAGGATAATCTTATAAACCAAATGTATTAAAAAAAAATTTTTCAGGGTATTAGTGAAGAATATTATAAACCAAATGTCTTCAAATATTTTCATACTATGAGTGAAGAATTTATAAACCAAACGTCTTCAAAACAATATTTTCAGACCATGAGTGAAGAATCTTACAGAGTTACTGGTCGTAGTAGATCATCCGTGGAGTTAAGAAGACGACCTATTATATCAGTACAGAAATACAGAGAAGGCAGCGATGACGACGATGATGATGATGATGACGAAGATGAAGTTGATGATGAAATGACACTTGAGGAAAAACAGGTTAGATGATTTTTTTTCATGCATAAATAGCTTGGCGGGGGCCGAGAAAGTTTATCTGGATCTTTCAGCGGGCCTTCCCCTTGTCAGTGGGACAACTTATAGTCGTTCGGATGGGACGAAACCCGAGGTCCCGTAGACCGTAGTGCCGCTGTTCGGGCAACATTTCACTCGTAGCACACTGTATGGCGCAGTCCCGTCTTCATTAGCCCAACCGGGACAGAACTCAGGACGTTAAACCCCATTTCATTTCAATTTAAATAGCCCAATTCATGATGTATGTCTCCCTAAATGTTGATGTACCGGATTGGTCACCAACAGCTGGAGCTGCACCCGGTGTATCTCTATCGATTGATACTGCAGTTGTACTCTTAGTAGTTTTGACTGTTGTGTCCTCAGCAATTGCTTGGTTTTGTCCGATTCTACTAATTTTCCTTCGTTTTGTTTGATGGAACAGAATACATTGATATCTAGCGCTTTGAAAGGTGTGGTTAATGTATACTGCTGCTATACTGCGCTCATCAGTTAAATTAAACATTGATGCAAGACGAACTTTTTGGGATGGTAAAGCGTCTAATACGAAAAACCGAGGTCTACTCATGTACTCGATCTCTAGCACTTGAAAGTTGGAACTCGATGAAGAGTATAGGCGAAACGCCACTGTCCGGCAAATTTTCCTCACGCCACACTGCTTAGCGTATGCTCGTCTTCATTAGCCCGGTTGCCATGCAAAAGAGTAGGTCATTAAACATCATTTCTATTTTGTTTTGTAGTCTATGTATACCGCCGTTAAACTGGGTGATATAGACAGATTAGAAGAATTACTAGAGAAACCAAATGGTGACATCAAAATGATCATGGTAAGATCAAAGTTACAAGTTTGCGGCATTCTTTGGTCATTTGGGAATGTTACTTTTTAATAATAAAGTATTATAGGCTAGCCTTTTCAAAAGGAAAATACAAAACATAAAGTCCAAGATATAATTGATCAAATACATTGATACTTTGAACTGAATAGAGCGATCAATGAATTAATTAACCTGGTAATTTCCTGAAAGCATTCCACTCGTAATGAATATTACCGCCTTTATATTACAGTATAATGAGAATTTGATTATGACGGCTATAAGAAACGACCAAGAAGAAATGGCAGAGTTTTTGTTAGATAATGGCGCTGATCCTAACTACACTCTCTTATTAATAGTAAGTTAATTATTCTACAACCTTTTCTCCGGAACAACTACCTGACACCACGCAACGTATTTTATATCCCTATGTAGCACCAGAGTCTATTTTCCGGCAAGTTGGGGAGGTCTGAAATTTCCAGGCGTCGAGTTAGACACCAAGGGGTTAGGTAGGGGAATTTGTGGGGTTGTAACCCGATCCCTCACAAAAAAATCCGATCCAAAACCGGTCCATGGCACATCGAAGTTATCGTATTTCTTGAGTTAAATTTAATTTCAAGGGACATCATCTTAATGAATCACCAACCAGATTTTGACGTACACTATATAATATGTTTTTAACGTTGCATTTTCAATTTTTTTTATAGGGGAATCCCGAAGCTGGTTTGGCTTCAATAGAAAAATATGAATATACGTGTCGACAAATGGCTTATGATCACGGAATGTATAACATAGTGGAGATAATTGATGTTATGAACAATGACTTGTTTCCCGGAGTTAAACCACGACACAGGACTCCGCGATATCGTAGGGAAAAGCCACCAACTCCGCATCTACCCACACCGGATGTCTCCGATTTCAGGGAGCAAGATTCAGATTCCAGTGCCAAAATGGAGAAACATGACAAAGTTAATAAAATGAAAAGGGTTGATAAAGTAAAGCGAAAGACAAAGAAATTAATGAAACGTGTCAGCGCTGATCTGATTTCATTGCTTGATGATTCTGATGACTCAGATGCTGTTGATTCTAAATCACAGACGTCTTGGAGAACTCACAGCTCTGGTGCTAAGAGTCTTAGAAGAAGGAGAAGAGTCCATTCAAGTAGCGAAGACGTTAATAAGTCAAAACCCACGAAATCAGCTTCGAATCATTCAGTCAGATCCATGGATCGGGATTCGGGTGTTTTCAGTGTCGAACCCGAGAAGTTCCTAACTCAAAGAAGTACGTCGAGTATATCGACGACCCAGAACACAGAGAGAGCAGTTTCGAAAACCCCACAAAAGAACATTAAAGACACCAAATCTTCTGCTAAAAAGTCTAATTTGCCAAGCATAAAAGAAACGGGGTCGCATCGGGATATGAACACGAAGTTTCAAAACCAGGAAGAAAAAGCTGACGCCGTTAAACCGACATTTAAGTTAAATAAAAAATTTCGACCTAAACTGTATCATGGGAAGCATCGGGTAGCTAGAGCCAGTAAACCAATGTACCCATTCCAGTATGTTACAGATCACTCCAGATGTCGAACGCGTGGAGCTTATCAAGAAAGTAATCCAAAAGATTGGAAGAAAGTTCACACCTTGGGAAGTTATTGTTATGAGAGGGATCGATGGAGTGCCGTAAAGAGTGCCGATCAAGCAGAGTATATTAATCTCGAACATTGTAACAATAGTGCTAAAAAGCTGTATTCATCCCAATCTTACGGTCAACAAAGTACTGACGCGAATGATGTAATTTACGAAAGAAAAAGCGATAAACATTTATTCATAGATGTATCTTTGTCGAAACGAAAGCTTAATCCTAGTTTTAGAAGAGCTTACACGTCTATGGACTTTGTGACAATCCCAATAGATTGTGCTTTGCGTGAAAAGAGAACCCATTCGGCAGTTCCTTATATTATTGGACAGGATTAATAGAATAGCGGTGTTTGTAAAGATAACAATCTCTTATTTAGTACAGGCTTTTAGTATACCTTGAATCAATCAATAAATCATGAAAATACGTTAATGTTAAGAGTTTGGGGTGTTATCATGGAGTACGGGGTTCGGTGTAAACAGAGGGTTGGAGGGAACTCTTGCTAGAAATGTCACCAATATACGTCATGGCAATATAGCTTCTTTTATGCAAATTTGGTGCCGTGCACGAGGCAGAGTATGATTACGTGTTCTAGAAAAAACATTGATGGGTTCACATAGCAAACAAGTGGGTTTCTGAAATCCAAAGACACACCACTGCCCCATTTAGCTGTAAGTTGTGATGGGTATCATCCGCCTGAATAGTTCATATAGCTACCAAACTTTGGTAACCATTCGTTGAGCTAGGTAATGTATCTTGGAAGGGTTGTTCATGACATATGCAAAGTATTTTTGGGGTAATTGGGATTTAACGGGTGTCGAATTATCTGGAATAAATTGGGGGAGTTCGAACTCAAATAGGCAATATGTAGGAAGAATCCAAACCTGAAAGGACAATCAGAAAAGCGGATTGTGGGTTAAATCCAGGGAGAATGTCCTGGGAAATCGTGTGTGAGTTGTATCACAAAAAGGTGCCTCACTCATAAAGCAGCAGATTTTTAAAGGTATTTTTTCCCCCATCATAATCTGGTCTGCGTTGTATTTTACTATAGCACCTGTAAAGGGGGCCATGAAGAAAATTTGTGTTTATTCTTAAAGGGCGAATTGCTAGTTGGAAATATGTTCCTTCTGAATAAACAAAGTGCAAGAGGAGGAAGACTTAAGGCATATAATTTTTGAGACTATGAGCTCTGATGTTGTTGATCGTGAATCCAAGCTAGTACAGCCATAGAAATATCTCCAAGCCAATATAATACTACTAAAAAGAACCTACATATAAGGAGATTTGTTTTAACTGTTATCGGAGATAAATATAGAGAATCTCCTACCAGTCTTTTTTGATATCAAAAAAGACGAGTAGGGGATTTTATTTATCACCCAATCCCTTCTTACATGCACAAATAAATAAATATATTTCTTTGCTATAGATTTCACTTTTTCTGAACCTTGACAGCAATTCAACCATAGCAAAGTCCTTTATATTAAGAAAGAACTTACTTTTAATAAAAAATGTACTGTTCTTTGAAAATATAAAAAAGAACTGTTCTTTGAAAATATAAAAAAGAACTGTTCTTTGAAAATATAAAAAAGTAGTTCCTTTTTGATTGACCAATCAAATTCATGTAAAGCGATATCTCCTAGAGATATCGCTCATAGGAGATATCGCTCAGTAGAATATGAAATTTATCACACAAGCGATATCTACTGTATAATGTATTATTGGGTGATAAAGTATGTTCTCCTATGGAAAACGAAAAACTTTGAATTTTTTAATAATTTTATTTTTATATTTCTCAACTTACAAGTTAACTACACACAGGTGATCAATATGGCCTAAATAGAAAAAAATCCCAATGATGAAATATAATAATAATTAATGTAATAATGTAATAAACAATATAAGCTTCCTGATGATTTAATAAAGATATACAAGGTGATTACATTAACATATTTTTACATGAACAATTACTACATTAACCATAATTATGTAATAAGTGTAATTAAATCACATCAACAGTCAATATATCACCATTGTCAATAAAAAAGCAGCAAAAAGTATGAGCCAATCTGATTAAGATACAGATCTATATTTCGTTTCGTTTTTTTTATAATTTCAATGCCCTACACTACATGAAGATCTGACAAGTTGTACTCGAAGGTCGTGTCAGGGTTCGTACGAGGGGATGTTGACCTTATGACGTCATACATTGATTAATCAATCAGCGTTGACGTTTCTAGTGGTTTACCCATAGTTCCGTGCATGGCACGCCAAGAAGTCGCCTTAACAGATCGTTTCACTGGTTAATCCCTCACTTCAACCAAAACGCCGGTAATATAACAACTCTTCCATGTCCTAGTGTAGTAAAGACAAGTAAAACGAAATTTTGAACTATAAAAAACGAAACGAAATAGGATCTGTGTTCTAATCAGATTGAGTATAAGCAGGACCTAATCTTAAGACAAGGGTCTATTCTGCCCAATTTACACTTTACATGTTGCCGACCAACAAATGCCAATAACAACAACAAGCCAACCATTGACCAGTTCACAGGCTGATGTAAAGGGTCATTTTTTTGTTAGTACATGCCTATTTTAAGAATAATAAGATTATTAATACATGTGTCTCAATGTTGGTACCAAAATTCTAATAGGCTAGCCAGCTTTTAATAAATTACTGCTAATTAACAAAAGCTAAAAACAGTTACTTTACAATTCCTTCTATTTCTATTACATACTCAAATATATAACCAATCTTCAACAACCAATTGGAACAAACAGTCGTAAATCTTTAGCAACAAATGTTCCCTGTGTATGCAACCAGCATATATTTGATGTTGTAGTATTAATGCTAGATTAAAGGCAAGCAATAAAGCAATATCCAATATAACATAATGCGATTAGATAACATTGTGGTAGTTTTTAAATAAATTAAATTTATATATATATATCCAGATAATACATGTATTTATAAAAATAACCAATATTTCTATAACATACTTTATGATGGGCAGTAAATATTTGATAACATGTAACAATCAAGGCTATTTTGTTAAACTTTAATAAAAATTACAAAGAACATCAACAGCGCCTTGATTAACATACATGTAGGATCCAACATATGTAATCAACATAAAACCCATTTCTAGGTATTCCAAAGAACATTAACAGTGCCTTTACTAACATTGGAGTCATAGGACCTAACATAATCAACATAAATCCATAAATTGACTTCTTGTGACAAAGCAATCAATCAATACAATCAACATAGGACACATTTCTATGTATTCCAGATAATTGGGTCCTGTGTATATCCAGTTCAATTACCATTTATTGGGCCCTATGTATATCCAGTTCAATTACTATGAATTGAGTCCTGTGTATATCCAGTTCACTTACTAAGAATTGGGTCCTGTGTATACACAGTTCAATTACTATTAATTGGGTTCTGCGTATATCCAGTTCAATTACCATTTATTGGGCCCTATGTATATCCAGTGCAATTACTATGAATTGAGTCCTGTGTATATCCAGTTCACTTACTAAGAATTGGGTCCCGTGTATACACAGTTCAATTACTATATATTGGGTTCTGTGTATATCCAGTTCAATTACTAAAAATCATTTAAACAATACAAAACAGGACATTTATAAATTTCAAAATTATGTTTTACACAAAAATAAATATTCATTTATACATGATTTCAGAAACTAAATGGCTAATTTTGACGACCTGGCAGTTTCATTTAAATATACTATCAAATTTGCACCAATCTTCATGAATCTTGATAGCATGGTAAACAATATTAATATACAATAAATGACAGATATATTTCACAAGTGTTCATGATTTTTACACAACAAATAAACACTAACAGCGTAGCTTTAAGAATAAATTAGACAGAATATTATTAATTATTCCCTGATTAAGCAAACAAGATTTTAATGAGAGAGTAAGACCTGATTGTATTGTTAAACATTTATGGTGCATTTTGGATTTGTGTTTTATGGATAAATTCTTTAAAATTTTAATTTCATGACATATAAATTGACTGACAGACAAATTTCACTGCTAGTCAGTCAAGACTTGTAAATATGATTGAAACCAGGCCCCCGAGTTCACAAAGCATTTTGAGACTTAAGTTAAAATATACACAAGACATCTTCATCTAGAGTTTGTCTCATTTCAATTATAGTGTTACACTGAGGCTCTGTCTGAATATAATTTGTTTTTATGTTTTCTTTCCAATCACACCCACTGAAATCTTGTGCATAACACAGCCAATATTAGTAGTCTAAATGGCAGCCAGCTGCAGTCAGAATATATAAAGTACATTAGGCCTCAAGTTCACAAAGCATTCTCAGATTTAAGTTAAGAATTTACTCAACTTTCAATCACTGTTTACGAGAAATATCTTTGATTCAGAAACACAAAACTTTGCACACAGTTTCTTTTTGTGGATTTGATACATTAAAACGACAAAATTTTTATAAAGGGCTATATTTAGTTAAAATAAGGCAAACAATTTTGAGTATATTCTTAACTTACGTCTGAGAATGCTTTGTGAACTCGGGGCCTGGGTTCTGGTACATTGATTAATGCTTAAAGTTTAACTACAGTGATATCTTGTTCAACGACCCTCTGCGTATAACAGGGCCACTCACATATATATGACCATATTTATCTCTTTAATATACAATTTATACAAAATAACTAACCTATTTAATATACAGATTATGTACACTATATATATAAAAAACAATGATATCTAAGGCTATTGATTACAATATTAACATAACAATACATGCAGGTGCATCACTTTTACCTGGATAATTAAACAATTATAAACACAAATACACGCTAACCTCTCGAATATGGGAGAATCTAATGTTCATGTCAGACAGGGACGTCTGTAATTCCAACAAGCCAAGTTAAAAAAAATCAAAAGATCAGGGGTATGGGTAGGTAACCCTAACACTCCCCCTCCCCTTAACTCTTACCCTGAATTCCCCATAAATGATTGTTCAATATGGAAATGACCTCCTTAACCGGCCTATTCTCCTCCCCAAACAGACCTGGCCCCCAAATAATCTCAGATTTTAGTTAAGTATTTACTCAACTTTCAATCACTGTTTGAAAAATGTCTTGATTCAGAAACGCAAAAATTTGCACATAGTTAAGTTTCTTATTGATGTATTTGATACACTAAAACAACAAAAGTTTTATAAAGGGCTATACAATTTTGGGTAAATTCTTAACTAAAGTCTGAGAAAGATTTGTGAACTCCGGGCCTTATCTCCCCATCCAGTCTGAAAATAGACAAGACCTTTCAATATCTACACAGTACCGTTCAACGGATCTGTTCACAGCTAACTCATCAAAAAGACCTCTCAATGTCTAAACAGTACCGATCAACAGATCTGTTCACAGCTAACTCAACAACAAGACCTCTCAATATCTAAACAGTACCCAATAGATCTGTTCACAGCTAACTCATCAAATAGAGAGACACAATCTAATCAAAACATGATGTTCAATTTTACATCACTCCATGTGATAATTAAAGACAGTTTAAGAAAATTGCATGATGTAAGCATAATAATACCCTAGGCCTAGAATATAGCCAATAGTCAATCAAATGTTTGAGACACCAGTTCTCAAAAGAGGAATCCCCTAATGAGCTTTTAGAATACTTCAAAACCTTGTTTTATTTTCCCTTTCACCGGTTTTGATTGGTCTTCAGATTTAAAGTTGACCAATCACACACTGTATGTTACTGAATGAGACCAATAAAGACATGTGTTTAGACTGAAATGTAGTGGGGTAAAAATTATGTGTTAATGTTCACTGTATGTAAATAATACATAATCTTGGATTATATGTATATAGAAGATAATCGTAATATAACATTATTTTAATATAAATTATACAGAAATTAAACTGTTTATAGAATAATATACTTTTATAAATATTCTTCTACCTTTTGTCTACAATTTATCTTACACCTTTGAATAAATAATTTTTTTTCTGAGTTTAAGAAACATTTAAATGATTTGCCCAGAATAAAAATCATGTCGATGATGATAACACCATATTTTTAAACACTTTGTTATTGTCTGTAACACTGTGTCTTTCCGAAATTAGAATGTTTGCCTAGCAGACAACCATATAACATATAACTTTATGATTTAACATCACAATCTAATATTAATCCACTATTAAAGTTGCTAGTGATCCATAAAGTTGTGTTTGTGTTATTTTAACATTAATCAAATCTCCACATACAAGAACATAAGGTTTTTTTTTGTTCTTTATAACACTACACTGCCGATTCTATTGAAACTTGACCGTTAAATTTATCTAAGAAAACGGAACTAACTAGTGATTGTTATCCATAAAGCTGTTTTTGTGTTATTTTAACATTAATCAAATCTCCACATACAAAAACACAAGTTTCTTTTTTTTTGTTTATAACACTACACTGCCGATTCTATTGAAACTTGACCATTAAATTTATCTAAGAGAACGGAACTAGCTAACTCCAGATTCCAGTGTAAAGTTTCCAACAGTTGTTCACAGTGAGGTCTAGGCGCCAATCCCAGACGAAATAATTGTTCTACTTTCAGATATTTAATGGCTTCTGATACATCCCAATGACAGTGACACAAAGCGGCATGACTCTCCTCATCCGTCACACCTATAACACTACTCTGAACTGTCGCAATTCGATCACGTGGCGAAGAACTCATAAAATTTGTTTTATTGTTTTGCAAAGTTCGACACTCGCGTGCTGGACTGACAGGCATTCCCGATTGCGATCGCGAAGAGGGTTCGGATACCTGTCTGTGATAATATCTTGAATCCACGCCAAGAGATTGCGATGCTGAAACCCCAGTGTCCATTGATTGATTTTTAGAAGGGCGTGACCTGTACGACCCACTGTCAGTTAAATTCTCCGAACTTTTAGATATGTAAGAGCTTGTAGCAGTTAAATTAACATTCTGATATGTTGAATTTCTTACTGGATCAGGGCATCGCACGGTTTTTCCTGTTTCAATATGAAATGGCTTAACTTCTACTGTCACAGCTGGCTGTTGTGGTGACCTCTGCCTCTGATTCTCTCTCTCGGGAATTAGAAAATAATGGGTGTGGCTTAATTGCTTGCCATCCTTCACCATTGGGTAAATTTTTGGTAAATGTCTTTTGTGACTCTCTTCATAGTCTCTCGGAGGAAGTGGAGGGGGACAAACCCCAGGTACTTCTGCCATGGCTACAACTCCATGGTCCATTTCATCTTCATCAAAATCAGAATCAAAAGAATCGTAACTTTTGGTTGTGGAAGACATGCAATCAACATTATCAGAATAATTGACATTGGTGCCATTGTGGGTTTCTGTGGGTACTTGGTCATAGGTTGGCGTAGCTGGTGGGTCATCATATAGTGGATAAGAAACCGATTCATCAAACTTTGTAAGTGGAGGGGGGTCACCATATGGAGGAGGCAAGGAAGGAGGATCGTCAAACTTAGGCAGGGGAGGGGGATCATCATAAAGCGGCAAACAGGGTGGATCTTCCTTTGGTACTTGGTCGTAAAGCGGCAAAGTTTCTGTCGGCCTTTGAATTGCTGATTTAGAAGATGGGGTCTCATCTGTCCTGACACGAGACAGAGCAAAGTGACTTAATTCATCATTTATCCAATCAAATGCTTTGTTAGTTTTATCAGAGTCTGATTTTTTAGGGGGAGGCAACTTAACTTGTAACGGTAGTTGTGACTGGTTGTTGGACACGCTTGTTTTATTGTAACTATGCACCACTCTACTTTCCCTTTCTGTTATCACATCAGCCATTGGAAATGGTGGTCTTGACAAGACATTTGATTGAGTGTTTGAATAAAGTTCATCCTCGGATGGAGGAACAGAATAATAAATACTACCGTTGCTATTATTAGATACAGATGCACCAAAAGGTTCTTTGGGAATGTTTGAGATGGGTTTGTGAACAGTGTGAGTCCGTGATTCGACATTTGTTGGCAAAACTCTCACTCGCGAATTAAAATCTGGATGATCGAACTTACTGCGGGGCCAGGTTGCATCCTGCATAAAATGAGATGTAGTGATATTTTGATTAGTAGTTGCGTGCCAAGATCCTTCCGAAGATGAGCTGTAAGCCGACGAAGCCGAGCTGGTCATTTTATAACTCTGATTAACTTCGAAGGGATCAGCAGGACTGTCTGTTAAGAGGGGTTTCGGTAAGCCAACATTTCCATATTGAGTGGCGTTTGACGTTGACAACAAAGAATCAAAGAGAGACAAAGTACTATGAGTTGTTTTCATATTGTTTGTTTTCATTTTCGAGTCTTCCACTTCCTCAGATAAATCAATCAAAGGTCGATCATCCAGTGATCGTGTACTCTTAGTTGAAGCTCGTAAATTACGCCTGTCTTGAGGTGGTGGAGGTCTTTGGTTTCCAGTAACAGCAGCAAGTGGTGTGGCCTTGTGAGCATGTGGGCGTTTCTTGCTTGGACTTTTTGGACTCTTTGGACTCTTTGGATTCTTTTGAGGTGCTTCACTCTTTAACTTTGAATAATTAAACTGTTTTACATCCATAGCTTCTTCTATAAAACATAATCAAAAGATCAATTATAAATGACTGAGTAAAAACAATTCTGGTTTTGTTAATAGATCGCATAGAAAATCTGACATCTTATCAAACCTGTTTGAGGTAAATGTGTACATTACATACTGTTGTCCTGTTAGTAAATCTATATTACAAGCTAGATTAAAATTACCCTTGTCTTATTTGTATATATTATTTGTCATTGTTATAAATATATGTACATGTTTATATTGCAGACTGTCCTTCGATACAATAAAATCTTATCTTATCCTATCCTGTGTATATATCTCAAAGAAATCTGTCTTATTGAATGTAGATTAAATATATATGAAAGAAAATTTATGGGCTCTAACTTTAAACCTTAGCAAGCAACCATGGAAAATGAAACACAATGGGCGTGTTGTCTCTGTAACACAATACCATGGTCATTTTCAAACAAGCATTACATTTTGCCCAGGCAGCGGCAAAGTTATAAGTCTATAGGCTCTAACTTAAAACTTTAGCTAGTAAACATGGAAAATGGATTTATTTATTTGCCCGGACAGCTGCATTTCCACCTACAGTAAGTTTATAGGCTCTAACTTTAAACTTTAGCAAGTAAACATGGAAAATGGATGGGTTTTGTTTTGCTCAGGCAGCGGCATTTTCGCCTACTATTCTTTGATTTTCAACTGTTGAGGTTTCATTTGCGTGCACACTGATATGTACCCTGGTGGACCTCGTGTTCTGGTCCTGGTGTTGGATAAGAAAGACATTAAAAATGATTTCATTTCATTATACAATAAGATGTTTACTGGAATACACAAACACTTATTTGGACAAATGAAATAGGGCTTAACATCCTACTGTTCTGCTCCGACTGGGCTAATGAAGACGGGCTTATGCCATACGGTGTGCTATGAGGGAAATTTTGCCTAGACAGCGACGCTACGGCCTACTCTTACATCGAATACCAACTGCCATGAGATCTTTTATGTGCAGGCCAATTTGTACATGGGATCTCGGTTTTTCGTCACAGCTATCCTTGTCAGGTCCTCTGTCCTGCACCACTGACCAGGTGAAACCACCCTGAAAAATCAAAATGAACTTTCTCGGCACAAACCGTGACCGTGACTGCAACCTCCATGCTAGCGAGCCAGCGTCTTACTCCCTTAGTCACCATGGCTCTCTTATTTGGACAAATACAGTAGTGTTTTAGACAAATTTACGATATTCCAAACTCACTTTTATTGTTGATAATTTGTAATTTTTCTTCTAATCCTGCATTGGCATCACCACTTATATCTGGAGGATCCATGGGGTTTCTTAAATATACTCTGAAATAATAATACGTTGGCAATTTATTTCAAATATCCATAAAAGATTCAATTTTATTTCAAATATCCATAAAAGATTCAATCATTTCAGTGTGAATGCAGATTTTGACCAAAACCAATCTGCTTTGTGAAATAATAGCTGTAAATAAAGCCAAAGATAAAAATATAAACAGATATAGAAAGACGAAAGGCCTGACAAAAACAGTTGTCTAGTTGTCCGGATGTGACGAAAACCTGAAATCCCATGTATACATTGGCGTGCATGTAAAAGATCCCTTGGCAGATGGAATTCGATATAATGGTAGGTCATAGTGCCGCTGCCCAGGCAAAATTTCCCTCATACCACACTGTATGGCATATGCTCGTACATGTAAAAGATCCCTTGGCAGTTGGAATTCAATATAAGAGTAGGCCATAGTGCCGCTGTCCTGGCAAAATTTCCTTCATAGCACACTGTATGGAGTATGCTTCATTAGCCCAGTATAGAAGCAGAACATTAAACTCAATTTCATTTCATTTCATTACTTACTCATCTATAGTAGATGGATCACCCCAGGTTTTACCAAAAACATCTCCATGTCCAGCATGTATAAAACTATTCTTTAACGGTTTACTTATATCCTGACCTGAAAATATAGTTAAACATCAAATAACATTCATCAATTCACATTCTCATTAGACTTAAAATCTGTTTGATTTATTTGTGGAGGGGTTGGATGGCTTAATGGTTAGCACATGTGCACTGTATCATAAGGTCTGTCATTGAGTCACCTGGCATGGTTTCAATTCCCGATTGTAGGGTAGGGTCGTCTGTTCAACCTTGTGGGTTTTCTCTCGGTCCTCCGTTTCCTACTATTGTTAAAGACCCCTATGCGCAAGCGCATTATTGAAATAAAATTATTGAACCATGGGTTAGTTCCGAAATGTCGAGTGGACGTTAAACCCCATTTCTCTCTTTCTCACACATGTTCATTAAACTTAAAATCTGTAGGTTTATTTGCGTTGGTTTATGTTTTAATGTTAAATCACTTTTAAATTCCCAACTGACAGGCCAATTAAACCTCACAATGACCTGCTTTTTAATGCTTTATCAATTAGTTTATATAAAATGTGAAATATATATATCCAATGAAAATACAAGTTTCATTTAGTAATACTGCAGCCTTATTTTAATCCTTGATGGGATCACGGTGGATCAGTGGGTAAGATGCTGACTCGTTAGCATGGACGTCGCATATTCAATCCATGCATTGCCAAGAAAGCTCATCGGGATTTTCCAACGGGGTTTCCTCTTGTCAGTTGGAATTTGATATAAGAGTAGGCCATAGTGCCGATGTCTGGGTAAAATTTCCCTCATAGCACACTGTATGACGTATGCATGTCTTCATTTATTTAATCCTTGGGTGGATTCATTGTCTTTTTGCTGTAAAATTATTATACAAATATCTCAACCAAAAAGAATATAAGTGTCAGTGAGTTTTGGTTTGAAAATATTTTATTGTCTTACTGGCTCGTTTACGGAGTGGATCTACCAGCTGTCTTGGAAACAATCCTATTTCTGTTGTTCTTTTATTCTGACCTTTCCACCAATAATTCTCAGGTCTGGAATAAAAAAAACAACAAAAAAACCCCAACAATTAATTATAGTTCACAAAAATAATGTAATCTAAAAAATATCAGTATGAAATTATGGTGTATTGTACACTGTGACTTTGAATTATTTTACCACAGATAGATAGAAATGGGATGAAAAACTGAGGGCATCTAAGCAGTGTTCATAAGAAATTGCGACGACAGTCAGATGGACAATACAAGATCACATTTTATTGGAGATGTATAGAAATGACCATATGTTTGTCTCAAAATGACTGAAGTGTTCAGATTTGTTCGGGGGGTTGGATGGAAGAATGGTTAGCATGTGCGTGCTGTATCATAAGGTCTGTCATTGAGTCAACTGGCGTGGTTTCGAATCCCCAGTTGTACGTGAGAAGTAGGGTCGCCTGTCCAACCTCGTGGGTTTTCCCTTTGTCCTCCGGTTTCTTCCCACTGCTAAAGACCCCTACGCGCAAGCGAATTATTGAAATAAAATTGAACCATGTTAGTCCCGAAATGACCTAGTTTGTGTCGAGTGGACTTTAAACCCCATTTGTCTCTCTCTCTCTCTCTCTCTCTCTCTCTCTCTCTCTCTCTCTCTCTCTCTCTCTCTCTCAGATTTGTTCACTGTCATTTACAGAATGAGAGTCTAGCTGAAAATGGAGGATTGAATGAATGTAAAGTATAAACATGACACCTACTTTCCCGATATAATAACAATATGATCTCCTTCCTCTATCTTCAATTTATCTTTCTCTTGAAAATTATGTAAACTTTTTACTTCAGGTGGCTGAACCTTCATTAAAACACAACAATTATAAATAAAATACTGACATTATTTTACACAGAAAGGTTCGAAAAATTTAGAAAAAATAGGTCACCTATGTTAATCACTAAGACGGTTTGTTTTGAGATAAAAGAATGAATAATAATGTGAGATAAAATTATTATCAATGATAAATTTGATGTCTGAGCTTTAATTTGAAAATATACTTAATACCAAAATACTTTTTATACTACAGAAAAAATGTGGGATTCAAGTCTGATTTAGTTCTTAGGTCATAGCTTGCTTCTAAACTGTCAGTTCCAGTTAGACATTTCATAGACTCGTCTAAGGTCAAACTGCCAAACCACCAATAAATATTTTAGTTTTTTGTGGTCTTTATAAATAAATAGAGACTCAAGCCTAAAGAACAATATTTTGATTAAAATTTCAAAACCTTGGAACTAAAAGCATTTGAGAAGTAGTGAAAAAAAAAGCAAAATATTTCATAGGTGCTCCTAAATAACAATAATACATATTGGTGTAGCCTAACCATTTATATCATAACTTACCTCACACAGGTAATCTTTCATGAGTATAAACGATGGTCTATCTTGTGGTTTTTCAGCCCAACATTGAGTCATAAGTTGATAAATAGCACTAGGTGCGTAATTAGGTTCAGGTAATCTATCACCATCTACATCTATCTTTTGTAATATCTATAATATAAACAATACAAATTCCTTCTATAATAAACCAATACAAATTCCTTCGTCTATAATAAAACAATTCCTTTCATAATAAAACAATAAAAAAAACAATACAAATTCCTATCATAAAACAATACAAGTTCCTTTTAGTTCTATAATAAAACAATAGAATTCCTATAATAAGGCTCTAAATCTTTGGAGAAATTTGGATTTACTTAATAGCAGTTTTAGTAATTTTATAACCAGTTTGAATTAGAAAATGTCATTGACAATCCTTATCCATAATGAGCATTTTGTGTAGCAAATGATGTAACTTTGAGCAGCAAATTGCACAATTATACTGCTTGTTTTACTCCATGTAATACTTTACTAAAATAACTAATGTTCTTTACTAAATAGGGGCAATTTGGGAAAAGAAGTTTAGTTCTGTGAGAATCTTTGCACAAGCCAGAATTATTTGCACATTTCAAATGAATCTGACAAAATACATAATATGCATTCATGAAAACTTACTTGTGAGCCATTTAATCCCATCCATGGTTCCTGACCATACGTAAACATTTCCCATAGTGTTACACCAAACATCCACATATCTGTAGCATGGGAAAACTGACGAGATTTTAAACTTTCTGGTGCACACCTAAATCATTATAATTAAATAAACAGTTTACATTTTTCACTAAAATCATTATAATAAGACAGTTTTTCACTAAAATCATTATAAGTAGACAAATCATGATAATGAGACTGTTTTTCACTTAATGATAGACTGTTTTTCACTAAAATCATTATAATTACACAGACAGTTTTTCACTAAAACCATTATAATTAATCAGTTTTTCACTAAACTCATTATAATTAGACAGGTTTTCACTTAAATCATTATAATTAAATAAACAGTTTATTATTTTCATGAAAACTTTTAATATTGTGACTATTGTCAAGAAACAGGCAGAAACATGTTCATTTCTGATATGAAGGCCGCTTTCACTTTTAGGAAGAATCATTTTGAGTGGATCGGCCATATTGGTCACCAAATGGGTTAAAAATGTCTGATTATCCAAACCATAGTCTAGTTTAACTAAGCATATTGAAAAAATGAAATGAGGTTTAACATCCTACTTATCTGCACCAGTCGGGCTAATAAAGACGGGCATACGCCTTGCAGTCAGCAGTGTGCTAGGACTCTAGGAGGGAAATCTTGCCCGATTTTGCATCACTGTAGCTTACTGTTATTTTGAATCCCCAACTGTCTGGAGATCTTTCATGTGCTGCCAATGGTTTATACACAGGAATGTGTTCTTTGTCCCATCCGAACGACTAGACTATTTTCCTTGCCAGGCGGTCTGTACTGCACAACTGACATGAGTAAAACAATCCTTAAGAACTTTCTCGGACATCCTTAGGATTGACCCCAGGGGGTCTCCTTGTTAGTGAGCCAGCTAGCATGCTTCATCCATCTTTTCCTTGCCAGGTAATCTTGCCAGGTGGTCTACCATTTTAGAGGAACTTTCTTGGACCCTGGGGGTTTCTCCTTGTTAGTGAGCCAGCTAGCGCGCTTCATCCTCCCCAATCACCTGAGCATATCTAACGGATACAGAAGGTTAATATAGTAAAAGTTGTTTTAGGATTAAATATAACAAAAGATCTTACCAAGCAAATGGTACTTTTTTGTGTTCTGACATCACATAATGATCTTCTTGACTAGGTAAAGCTCTCATTAAACCAAAATCTCCTATTTTTATCTGAAAATACAATATAAATACACAATGCTGTGAGACAGAGGGAGAGAGAGAAATGGGGTTTAATGTCCACTTGACACAAACTAGGTCATTTCGTAACTAACATATGATTCTATCTTATTTCAATACTTTGCTTGCACGTAGGGGTCTTTAGAATGGGAGGAAACCGGGGGACCCAGAGAAAACCCACAAATTTGGATAGACAACCCTATTCCTTGTCACGTACAACCGGGTAATCGAAACCACGCCAGTTGACTCAATAACAGACCTTATGATGCAATGCGCATGCACTAACCATTCGGCCATCAATACCCCACCTCCCCCATCACAATATATAGATTATAGATGTCCATGAAAGCTGTTGATCGTCATTTTAGGGGTTTTGAATCCCATGCAAACCCTAAAAGGAATATAGTACGTTTCTTACCTTATCATGAGCTGAAAGTAGTACGTTTCTACAGGCTAAATCACGATGTATGAAACGTTTAGTTTCTAGATAACTCATACCATTTGATATCTGTATAGCGTAATCTATTAATGTACAGACTAATATCTTCTGACCATCTTCACGTAATTTGTTTAACAATGCTCCATGCTCGGCCAACTCTGTCACCTGTAGATACAATTTTATAAAAGTTAGCATCTTTCAAATACTATTTAGTTTTCATTAAAGATGCATTATGTAAGAGCTAAATCTGCCGATTGCAGATCTTTCTTTTGGCCTTAAATGTTATATAAATTATTAATTAGACATATATTTACATAACAAGAACATAATCAACCCGCTAGGTCATTGGATGCTCACGATTTTCAATGGATTGAAACAAGAACGTCACTCAATATTTTAATTTACGAATGGATAATCAAGACTTTGTTTACTATTGTAACAATGGTAGCAATGACAATCAAGACTCTGCTATCCTCCAAACAGTTATAACGTCGCTCAGAATAAAGTAATTTGACTCAAATTTTCAATATATTCATTTCTCATTATCTATTTTTAAATTATTATAGCAAGAACTGTCAGCTTTTTATCTAAATCTTACATAATGCACCTTTAAAAGTATAGTCATGGTAAATGCTGATTTTACTATTTCAATATTTTGAATTATATTTGAACACTTGATTCAACTGAAATGCTAAATGTTTCGTCCATTTTTGTTGCTATTTTTGATTTTAGGAAAATATACATCTTTTAAATTCATTTATTTTACTTGATTTATTTATCTTTTGAATATGAGTGGAATTTTGTCCTGGCAGCAGCACTACAGCCTACTCTTATTTTGATTGCAAAATGTCATGTTATCTTTGACGGCTGCCATTCCAGTAGTAAACATGAGGTCTCGTTTTTTTGTCCTATCCAAACAACTAGATCTTTTTCCTTGCCAGACCCTTCATCGTAAACCAGACTGAACAAACCTGAAGCACTTTCTCTACCAACACCGAGATTATAATATCGATATAAAATCAAACTTACCATCATTAAAGGTGAAGAGAGGACAACTCCGTATAGTCGTATTAAATTTACATGATTTAATGTATGCATAGCATTTACTTCTTTTACAAAATCTTCAAATGCACCAGGTTGAGCTAAAACATCATTTTTTAATATCTTTATAGCTACATCTTTCTGTAAATCATAAATAAATAACAGGGATATAGAAAACATTTAAATATATCTGAATGATGAATATAAATAATGGTTGAAACGTAATCTGATTAAAACACAGACCCTATTTCATTTCGTTTTTTATAGTTCAAAATTTTGTTTTACTTGTCTTTACTACACTAGGATCTGAAAGAGTTGTTAAATAACCCACGTTCTGGATGATATGAGAGATTAGCCAATGGTGTGAGGTGCACGGAGCTGTGGGTAACCCACTAGAAACATCAAAGCTGACTGGTTAACCAAATATCTGACGTCATAGGGTCAAAAGCCGCTTGTACGACCCCTGACACGATCTTCCAATACAACCGGTCAGATCTTCGTGTAGTGTAGGCCATCGAAAGTATGAAAAAACGAAACAAAATTTAGATCTGTATTTTAATCAGAGTTTAACCTCCACTGGACACAAACTAGGTCATTTCGGGACTAACATGTGGTTTAATTTTATTTCAATAATTTGCTTACTGGTAGGGGTCTTTAGCAGTGGGAGGAAACCAGAAGACCCAGAGAAAACTCACGAGGTTGGACATGCGACCCTACTCCTTGTCACGTACAACCAGGGATTCAAAACCACACCAGTTGACTCAATGACAGGCCTTATGATACAGCGCTCTCATGCTAACCATTCGGCCATCCAACCCCCCACAGACAGACAGAGGAGATGACAACACACAGCCATATTTCAATGTATGAGTACAACAATCCAATATATGTACAAACCTTTGATTGTGAATTAGTGACCCATTCTCCTTTTCTAACTACACCAAATGATCCATTGCCGAGTTTACCATAGATGTACAGGTATTTCTGATCTATTAAACATGTTAAACTTTGTTCATTAGATTTCGCAGCAGAAGATGTGGATAGTTTTCGTGTGGATGTTTTCTCTATTGTTTTTGTACCTGGTAAAAACTGAAAATAAACAAAACACATTACTAGCAAACCATTGGATTTAAATAGAAATTTCTCTCTCTCTTACTAAGCACTGTACTTAAAGATACATTATGGGAGATTCGATAACGGGTTGGCAGTTCTCACTATAATAGTTAAAAACTAGATAATGTATAGGCAATTTGCTGAAAATTTAATTCAAATTGATCCACTATGAACCGAGAACTAAGCGGTTGAAATTTCCGGCTAGCTTTGATCATCATTACTAAAGTCAGTACGATAAACAGCATAGTCTCGATTATCCATTTAATCGTTAAATCGTGAAGGAAAGTTCTGCAGCAAATCGGATCATAATCCAACAATTATCGCAGGCTAGCATTGACATCGAGAGTTGATTATGGTCTGGATAGGTTAATTAATGTCTAATTAATAATTTAGATAACATTTCAGGCCTAAAGAAAGACCTGCAATAGACAGATTTAGCTCTTGAATAATGTATGTTTAAAGGGAGATAATCGTACAGAGAATGTATAATTCTGAAGTTATTTGTAAATAAAGACTTTTGGCAAGCGGAATTTGTCCCACCCGTATCGTCACGAAACAGATATGTGATAAGTTGTGTCGATGTATTTTTAGAGTTTTGGCAGATTTTCGTGCTGCGTATGTATGAGTTTTGATTTTCACCATTTGGGTGCTCTTTTTCAATGATAAAATTACAGTCTTTGTCATGTTTAAAGACCACATCAAATATACACCTTTGTGTTCTAGGATACACATAAATTCATAAAACACCATGACACAACATTTCAAAGCCTAAAAGTAGGAAAAAAGATATTGATATATGCTCCTATGTCTGTATGCACCGTCAAGTATGCGAACTACACACAAATTGATGATGTCACACTAAAAATGGATACAGACACGCGACGCAGACCAGGAATTTAGGCTTGCCAAACATCTCTAATCTTTGTTAAAAATACATTTTCATGAAAAAATTTCTATGATTGAGGGAGAGATAATGAGGTGGGGTTTAACGTCCACTCGACACAAACAAGGTCATTTTGGGACTAACATATGGTTCAATTTTATTTCTATAATTCGCTAGCGCGTAGGGGTCTTTAGAGGTGGGAGGAAACCCAGGAGGTTGGAAAGGCGACTCTACTCCTTGCCATGTACAAGGGAGGATTCAAAACCACGCCACTTGACTCAATGACAGACCTTGTGATCAAATGCGCACGTAAAATTAACCATTTGACCACGCCCTCCCCCGCCCCCCATGATTGAGACAAATGATTTAAGTTTTCCTTCTAAAACTTATTTTAAATTACAAATTCTAGTCAAATGAGAGATTTTAACAAAGAATTTTTTCCAATAAATTATTTGATGTTGATGTTGATGTAAACCTACCTTATCTAATATACCCTTCTTCTTTATAGATTTTTTCTTTTTAATGGCATCCATCAATCTGCGAACAGCCGGCTTTCCCATTCCAATCTTTTCTAAATCCTCCACTTTAACATAATCAAAATGTGTCAACCTACAAATAAATACAAGGATGAATACAAAATATGACAATCTAAAATAAATACAAGAAATACAAGGATGAATACAAAATATGGCAATCTAAAATAAATACAAGACATACAAGGATGAATACAAAATATGGCAATCTAAAATAAATACAAGAAATACAAGGATGAATACAAAATATGGCTATCTAAAAATAAATACAAGGATAAATACAAAATGTGTCAACCTAAAAATAAATACAAGGATGAATACAAAATATGTCAACCTAAAAATAAATACAAGGATGAATACAAAATGTATCAACATAAAAATTGAAACAAGGATAAATATAAATAAAAGAGAGAGAGAAATGGGGTTTAACGTCCACTCAACACAAACTAGGTCATTTCGAGACTAACACATAGTTCAATTTTATTTCAATAATTCGCTTGCGCGTAGGGGTCTTTAGCAGTCGGAGGAAACCGGATGACCCGGAGAAAACCCACGAGGTAGGACAGGCAACCCTACTCCTTGTCATGTACAACTGGGAAATCGAAACCCTGCCAGTTGACTCAATGACAGACCGTATGATACAGCGCGCGTGCTAACCATTCAGCCATCCAACCCCCCATGAATATAAATGAAATGAAATGGGGTTTAAAATCCTTCTTTTCTACACCGACTGGTCTAATGAAGACAGAAGGATGAATATACAATGTGTCAATCTAAAAATAAAAACAAAGATGGATACAAAATGCGTCAATCTAAAAATAAAAGCAAAGATGAATACAATATTATAGTTGACTGAAACTTAATTTTTTCAATTACTGGGTACAAATTTCTATGGCATGTCATTTTCCTTCCAGTACCAAGTTGATATTTAAAAGAAAGAAGTATATCCCTATCCCAGCCTGACAAAATATTTACTAATATTCTTGTATTTTCTCAATCTGATTAAAATACAGATCTATATTTCGTTTCGTTTTTTTTTTATACTTTCAATTGCTTACACTACTTGAAGATCTGTCAAGTTTTACTTGAAGGTCGTGTCAGGGGTCGTACAAGCAGAATTTGACCCTATGACGTCAGACATTGATTAATCAATCAGCGTTGTCATTGCTTGTGGTTTACCCACAGTTCCGTGCATAGCACGCCAAGAAGTCGCAGTAACAGACTGTTTCCTTGGCATATCCCTCAATTCAACCAAAACACCAGTAAATATAACAACTCTTTCAGATCCTAGTGTAGTAAAGACAAGTAAAATGAAATTTTGAACTATAAAAAAACGTAACGAAATAGGATCTGTGTTTTAAAGTGAGAATTTCAAATTTTCTAAGAAAGTCAAAACATAATTATTTCTATGTCTTTTGCTCAATAGGTTATCAAATCACTATTATACGATCATGGGCATTATTTCCCACCCTTAAAAATCTATGACACAGGAAATAACAACACAATTACCTCCCCTGTTTTGCTATTGACAACATGGGGAGAAGCCATTTTCCAACGTTGAATTTGAAGTTAAAAATGATATTTTTGCCAATTTCTCAGCTGGCAATAGCGAATTATAGGATTAATAGGATTATTCTTTAACAACGTAGGACTGTTTATGGATACCATCATTCTAAGGCTTTATTTTAATACATTTTAAAAATATAACTTGAAAATTTGCAATTTCCGCTTTAAGTTTAATCAGATTGTGTATTTTCTTTAATTTTCTTTAAGGAAGATGAAGTCTAAGAATATTTTGTTGTTTATCCTTAAAATAATCTGAATTATTCTGAATAGATTCGCGTCTTCATTATCCCAGTCGGAGCATAACAGTAGGATGTTAAACCCCATTTCATTTCATTTCGTTTCTGAATAGATTATCTATCAACAATCCATCAAATATCGGATCTATTCATGTAAAATATTACCTGGTGACTTGAAGATCATCTCGTAATTTAGAGAAAAATTTCTCGAGTTGAACTTCAGCCAGTAATTCATATAACCATTCCTGGCCTTCATCTTCACCTCCGTCACTCATCCTGTAAATGAAGTAAAAATAATTAGATCAAAAATTTCAAATCTTAGGATCAAATGATATTCTAGCATGGTCAAATGTGGGTTCAGAAAATGTGCCAATGTACTTTGTCTACAGATCGGCCTGATGAAAAAGCAAGATCCACCTATATACTTATTGCTGTGCACGTAAAAGAACCCTTGACAGTTGGAATTTGATAAAGAGTAAGCAGAAACGCTGCTGTTTGGTCAATGTGTCCCTCATATCACACTGAATATCAGTAGCTAAGTTGCAATTTGGACGGGAAAAAAATATCAATTACAATTCGCTGCCAACGTACGAGGGAAGGAACTAATTAATGCCTGTAATATAAGACATCATGATTTATTCATTCAAGCTTCCTCTATATTCCAGAATCGGTAACCATAATTTCAGGAAATTCTATTCATAAGATGTAAAAAATAGACGGATATTAACATAGAGTATACAGGTGACATGACTAACAGCCATAACAGATTGCATATTAAATAAAACAGACTTTCATTCAAATACAATCTGTTCAACGTAAAAACCACTTACTGTTCACCACATGTATGTAAATTATAATATTTTTTATAAGTGTAGAATAATGAAAGTATTGTTTGCAAGCATTACATATTATTATCATTATTATTCATTCATACAGTAAACTTTTAACACCTTCTGGTCTAGCCTACATTATTTTATAGAAAGCACTTTGGCCATTTGTAATTTGAAAACTAGAGTCTTATTTCATATACACAGAGAGAGAGAGAGAGAGAGAGAGAGAGAGAGAGAGAGAGAGAGAGATGGGGTTTAACCTCCACTCGACACAAACTAGGTCATTTCTGGACTAACATATGATTTAATTTTATTTCAATAATTCGCTTGCGTTTAGGGGTCTTTAGCAGTGGGAGGAAACCGGAGGACCCGAAGAAAACCCATGAGATTGGACAGGAGATCCTACTCCTTGTCACGTGCAACCGGGGATTCGAAACCATGCCAGTTGACTCAATGACAGGCCTTATGATACTCAACACAAACTAGGTCACTTCGGGACTAACATATGGGCATATTTTATTGCAATAATTGGCTTGCGCATAGAAGTCTTTAGCTGTAAGAGGAAACCGACGTACAACCGGAGAATCGACGAAACCAAGCCAGTTGACTCAATGACAGACCTTATGATACAACGCGCACGAGCTAACCATTCGGCCATCCAACCCACCTGTCTACAACAATTTGTAGAAAAGACATGCAGGCCTGGAGAAATAAGGCACCTTAGCACACATTCTGTTACCTGTCATTTTGTATTTTTTGTGTGATTTTATTAATATCAGGAATGGCTAAAACCTTTATTTCCAGGGCTTAGAGTCTTATTTTATATAGGCTACAGTAAGAGAGATTTAACAATAAGTAAGAGTAAAGTTGTTATTATATCATGTACATAGAATGTTATTATTTGTATGTATATATATATAGTATGGTAACTATTATCATATCTGTCTATACTAGTCATATAAACTAGTGACCTACACAGTTTCACCTATATATAACAGTACCATATAGTACTAAACACTGTAATAATCAGTATAAACCACCAAAGTTAACACCAATGATTTAAAAGTACAATATGTAACAAAGAACCTATTTCACAAAGTTTACATATGTAAATGATATTATAATTTATAGTAATATGTTTGATTTATGTGTATGTACATGAATTTTTAAGAAATGAAATGAGAGAGAAAGAGAGAAATGAAGTTTAATGTCCACTCGACACAAACTAGATCATTTCGGGACTAAAACATGGTTCAATTTTTATTTCAATAATTCGCTTCCGTGGAAACCGGAGGACCCGGAAAAAACCCACGAGGTTGGACAGGTGACCCTACTCCTTGTCACATACAACATTACAACTAGGGAATTGAAACCAAGAAATGAAATTTACATGTAACATCTTACTTTCCTGTACCAACTGTGCAAACCAGAAATGAAATGAAATGGGGTTTAACGTCCTACTGTTCTGCTCCTAACCTGGGCTAATGAAGACGGGCATACGCCATACAGTGTGCTATGAGGGAAATTTTGCCCGGGCAGCGGCGCTACGGCCTACTCTTATATCGAATTCCAACTGCCAAGGGATCTTTTACGTGCACGCCAATGTGTACACGGGACCTCGGTTTTTCGTCCCATCCGAACGACTAGACAGCTGTCCTTGTCAGGCCCTCCATCCTGCATCACTGACAAGGAGAAACCACGCCGGAAAATCTGGGTGAACTTTCTCGACCAATGCAGGGATCGAACAACCGACCTCCAGACTAGCGAGCCAGCGCCTTACCCACTTAGCCACCGTGATCCCCAATGTGCAAACCAAGACGGGCATATGTCAAGCTATATGCTACATACCACAAAGGAAAATTTGTCCTGACAGTGGCGCTATGGCCTACTCTTATTTCAATTTCACACTATCTGGGGGTCTTCAACGTGTTGTCAAATTAGTATACACAGGACATAAATTTTTGGACCCATCCAAATGACTAGATACTTTTATTTGCCAGGCCTTCTGTGTCTTGCACCAATGATAGAGGAACTTCTTATCCAACACTGGGATCGAATCCTTGACCTGGTTATTGACCCAGTACCATGAATACCAAGCCACCATGTCTTTGTGCTTGGTAAAACAGGATCTAGCATTACAAGACTTGTTGGGAACCCGGTGGCTAAGTGGGTAAGATGCTGGCTCGCTAGCCTGGAGGTCGCGTGTTTGATCCCTGCATTGGCCGAGAAAGTTCATCGGGATTTTCCGACACAGCTTCCACGGTCAGTGGTGCAGGCCCTTAGCCAGCTTGCTAGCTTTGGAGGGGCAGTGAAGTTTTTAGGGGGGGCACACCCGGCACAGTCTACAGTAGGTATTTTAGAGCTATGGTTGGCAAATTTTTATTCGGGGGGGGGGGGGCAAAACATTTTCTCGGCTACAGGCCTGCAGTGGTACAGGACAAGGACAGCTGTCTAGTTGTTTGGATGGGACGAAAAAGTTCCTGTGTACACATTGGCAAGCACATAAAGATCTCTTGGCAGTTTGAATTCAATATAAGAGTAGGCCATAGTGCCGCTGCCTGGGCACACTGTATGGCGTATGCCTGTCTTCATTAACCCAGTTCGGAGCAGAAGAATAGGGCTAATGAAGACAGGCATACACCACGCAGGTTGTGCATTAACAACATCCAATATAATATGATGATGCATGTTATTATACAGTCCAATATATATATACATGTATATATATATATCAATCAGCTGCTTAATTAAATATTTACATGTACATGTATATCAATCAGCAGCTTTGATATTAAATCCAAGAGTATTTCATTGTTATTGTTGATATACATATATATTCTGTGTATATTTGTTCACCATCCACATATCTATATCATATACTTAATAAAGATCAGAGTACTGTATCCACATCGAAACGCCACAAAGTAATAAATTCAGTATTTGTGTATCCATAAAATTTTACCTTGTGTTAATGCTTAATAATGTTTAATTCACATGTATATCAATTTAACAATACAATTTGTTTGTGATATATATATATAATAACTGTTGTTTATGATAGGCATGTATGAGTATACGGGTCATTAACACCACTGTGTATTGTTGTAGTGGAAAGAAGGAAAAGATCAATTCAAAGTAAATTGAGGTCAGATGTATTGGTGTGAGTGACTCAAAAAATATTTAAGGGGCATTGTCATATTTTTTGACCTTGTGATGGATATTTGGATTCAGACATCTAATGGGGCATTACGGGAGATAAGATAAAGAGTTGTCTGTTTTTGCTATAGTTTAAAAATTGATAATGTAAATAGAATATGCTGAAAATTTCAGTCAAATTGCTTCACTCTGAACCAAGATATTAGCTTTTGAATTTTAGGCTAGCCTCAATCATAAATACTAGAGTCAGATCGAACACATGACCTCCAGGCTAGCGAGCCACTGTGGCTCCCATGGATGAACCAGTGTGGGCTTGGAACAATGAGGACTGATAATAAAAATGGTGCTGGAAAAGACTTAGGCAGGAGTACAGTAATGGAGCAGTGAACAAATGAAGCAAGGGACACACAAAAATAGAAACAGGTCTTTTTAATAAAACTTAAAGTAACTAAGTCTCTAACTCAATATCATGCAAAACCTTCGACATTGAAAACACAAATTATTTGTCAATTGTAATCAACATTGTTGTGATCTTACCAGGAAAAGATGGGCTTCTGATATCCAATATTTAAGACAAAATAAACATTTTACCATTGGTACACGAATCGTGTACGTGTACCATAATGCGTTTCAGCGCAATTTGTAGCAAGCGACTTGAAGAACGAGGTTAGACATATTCCACAAGTCATGTCAAACAGTGACCCCATATTCTTATCTGGATAGCATGCGCAATAATTATTATTGGTGTAGACTGGAATAACCAGACGCTTAAGATTGCCATTCGATTAAGTAAAAACGGAAACGATTGAATGTAAATCAGTTTATTTACATTCATATTACATTATTATATACGTTGCGACCCATTTTTGTCAATTTGTAAGTCCCAAATATTAGAGACTTAGCCCCTTTAAAACCAGGTTCTAAACTAATTTCATACTATAAGTATTATTAATAGAATAATTTCTTTGTAAAATTCAGAACTACCAACCAAGCGCCTGTTTTTTTTTTCATATATCATATATATAATGTTTACTGCATATTCAATACAAGTTATTATTTTCTACTAAAAACATCTGCATATTGATTGATGAATGGAATTCAAATTATGCATAACAAAAATGAAATGAAATGGAGTTTAAAGTCCTACTGTCCAACTATCTTAACACTACAACTCAGGTATCATTTAGTTGTGTTGTTTTAGTATGTGTTTCTGTGTTTAATGTTTAGTTTCCAACCTTTGTTGGAAAACAGTTCAAAGTTGAGAATCATAAGACAACCATTGGGTTTCTACTGATGTGTAGTTTAAAGGGTCTGTCTAAATTATGGATAACGAGTCTAAATGACAGTCAGTCTGAATATACGTTAGATCTATGAGTAGAAAATCAGAATTTTTTTTAAAATGGTTGTTATACCTCCATCAGACCGAGGTGGCGCTCTTACTGTGCTGCTACAGCAGCGGAAAATGTTCTCAGAGCGCGTCAAGATCGCCATAAGCGTGGTAACAGCACGGTGGTAACGCGAGAAATCGTGCTGTGGTCTCCATGGTCGCCAATGATAGCCGAGTCACGGCGTTTGTTTTGAGCATGTTCAAAACAAATGCCAAGGTTATGCGATCATACCTGGAAAGCTTTCTCACAAAGCGACTTTTTTCAAGTTTGTAATTTGGTCGCCGTACGGTCGAAGCAGCACAATAAGGGCGCCCAGCGGTCTGACGGGGGCATTATAAAAAGGCCATATTGTGAGTTCCCCTACTTGTTTAATTAGCCCGTGATCTTCTGTGAGCTGTCTTACTGTAGATTCAATGAAATATTGTTCGTAGTATAAAACTCTATCACTTTTTTTTAATATTGGGGAAGCGGTTCGTAACTGGATGTCTAACAATGGTCTGAAGGAATCCTATCAAGATTCGCATGGCGGTTATGCATCTCCTGGAAAGCTCTCAGGTTGGTATCAAGAGTACTGGTAGTTGATCTGCCACCCCTGAGTGAGTAAATATGACCCACTGATGCATATTAGTTGACTGTTGACTTGATCTTAACAGCTTTCAAACAGTCCCTGCCACCCCCGAGTGAACATTCCTAGTAAATATGACCCACTGATGCATGTTAGTTGATGGTTGACTTGATCTTACATGTACATGCATACTTCACACTTTTAAGAATAATTTTACTGGGTTTTAATTCTTCTATTGATGGATATTAGGAAATTAAAGTGGGGACGGCAACACTCCTTACTGGATTTTAATTCTTCTATTAATAGATATTAGGAAATTAAAGCGGGGATGGCAAAACTCCTTACTGGGTTTTAATTCGTCTATTTATAGATATTAGAAAACAAAAGGGGGCATGACAACAGGCTTGGTAGGCTGGTAGATCTGTGTAGCTGCTGGATCAAACGATGATGACGGCGGAGAGAATAGACATTAATATATATTACTTGAAGTAGCGTTTAGTGATTGAGCACATCAAAGAACACAACAAAATTTATATGAAAACCAATTGTGCTATATGTGTATAATCCAGTGATTGTTTTCCAAATAAATTGTGTTTTGTTTTTTACATTAATATCTATTAATTTCATTCTTCTATTGAGATAATCTCCCTTTCTTTATCTATATGTAAATATATAAATAATGTGTTTATCTCAGGTAATACAGGTAATTTTTACCTGTATAATCCAGGGTGGAGACGAGATGTTACAACTATATACACACCAGTCAATAATAAATCCTAACTAAAGGTAAATAAAAAGCTGATACGAGTCAATATCTCATATCTGGTAATTATAAAACATCCTATAAATCACAGTAAATTCTTGTTTACAATCAAATAAATATGATTTGAGTTGACACAACTATGGGAAACAGCACAGCAGTTAATGAACCAAATGTTAAGAAAACACATGGTTGCATCTTTCTATGGGAAAGCTTCGAAATAAGGCACATGTCACAGGCTTTGTCAGGCACAAATTCAGGCCCGTCAGCACAGATTTGATTTTTTGGGGGGTGTTTTTATAGATTAATGACATTCTTAAAACATGTCCGGTACACAGTTCAAAATGTCAGGTATTTGTTAAAGAGGCATAATTCGAGAGCTATATCTGTCTATTGCAGGTCTTCCTTCGGGCCTGGGATGTTATATAAATTATAAATTAGACATTTATCAACATGACAAGACCATAATCAACTCTCGATGCCATTGGATGGCTCAGATTTCAAATAGATTAGAATGGTTCGGCCATATAATGATTTAATTTCAAAATGGAGAAGTGAGGCTAAGACTCTAATGACCAGTACAGTGGTAACGATCAATGCACACTACAACCATTGATAAATTCTCTCATAATAAAGTAATTCGAATGAAATTTTCAATGTATTCATTTTGAATTGTCTATTTTTGAAATATTATAGCGAGAACAGCCAGCTCTTTATCTAAATCTTACATAATGCCCCTTCAAGTAATGTCTGACAAAAGGCACAAAGTTCAAGATATCAGAACTGCCTAACATTTTGTCCGGTACAGTATAACGAACATTGTTAGTTAGTTTTAAATCCTTGTATTCTTTATTAGGCAATTTTCTAAATTTTTGTACATTTTGACTATCAGTGCTCCTGTATGGGACTATTTCCCCAAAAAGGATCCCTTTCAATGAACAAATATTTTTTAAGTATACAATACATACTGTTTGTAACACATTTATCAAAGTTTACATACAAATTATAATGTACTGCTTGTAACACATTTATCAGAGTTTGTAATATGAGAAGTTAACTCTTCCTTATTTTATTTGTCATATCATCTTACAAATTTACTCCTCCGCTAATTTGTCAACAAGTTGTACAATATAGTATGAGTAATAACATACATCCACATGCTATATATGATGATTATTATAATGATGTGTAAAATGTCCCCACCCCATATACAAATTTATACTAAAGCCTTTAAAGTAGCTAAGTCTCTAACTCAATATCATCCAAAGTCTTACACAGTTAAAACATTTGTCAATTCAAATCAACATAGATGTTGTGATCTTACTGGGAAAAGGTAGGCTTCTGATATCCAACATTTAAGACAAAATAAACATTTTAACCTTGGTACACCATAATGCATGTCAGCGCCATTTGTAACAAGTGACCAGAAAGAACAAGGCTAGACATATTCCACAACTCATGGTGACGTCATATCTTATCTGGAGAGCATGCGCAATAGACTGGAATAACCAGATGCTAGAAATTCCCATTCGGTTAAGACTCATGCCGTATGTCGCTGGACATAACTGATTTGAAATTAGAGTCAAAACGGAAACAATTGAATGTAAATCAGTTTATATACAATCAGATTACATTATTATATGTGTTTCGAGCCATTTGGGTCAATTTCTAGGTCCCAAATATTAGCGATTTAGCTCCTTTAATGTCACAGTTGTACCTAAATGTACACATACAAAAACTGGCTGATCAATTTTGATAATGAGTGTCCAATTTACAATTATTTAATTTCCTGACCACTGTTCAAAAATTAATCATTATACATCAATAATCAATTGGGTTGTTTATTTTTTAACAGTGATTGAGAAATTAAATGCTTGGAAATTGGAAACTCATTATCAAAATTGAATGGTCAGCTTTAAACTGAACACATGTACAAATTAGATGATTTTGGGTGATTTTAAATGATTTTTACAAATTTTTAAACGAAGAGTTGATATTGAATAAATGTAAAAGAAATTAGTGCTAAATACACAAGATTAAATGATACCCAGCTTACAGTGTATGTAAGACCTACTTTATTACGGATACAATCTTCTTCATTAACTAAAAATTCTCAATACTGAATAAAACATTAAGAAACCAAGCCATATTGTTCACACATGTCAAACTCCATTATGTAATTAACCCTTGGCTGATATCAGAATTTATAAAATATGAAAACATCAAGATATAATATACATAAAAGTGCAATAAGCTGTAAAAATATTACATTTCTCCTATATATTGTTATATACATAAAATGAAATGAAATGATGGTTAACGTCCTACTGTTCTGCTCTGACTGGTCTAATTAAGACGTGTATACACCATACAGTGTGCTATGAGTGAAATGTTGCCTGGTCAGCAACACTATGGCCTACGTTTATATCGAATTCCAACTCCAAGGAATTTTTTACATAGGACCTTGGTTTTTTGTCCCATCCGAATGTCTGGACAGCTCTCCGTCCTGCACCACTGACATGGGGAAACCATATTTGAAAATCCTGATGACTTTTCTCAGCCAATGCAGGGATTAAACATGCAACTTCCATGCTAGCGAGCCAGCATCTTAGCCACTGTGGTTCCCATATTGTTATATAACCAGTACATGTATATGTAATTAACCTTTGATACCATAATTTCTAATACGTCTACATGAAAGTATCAAGATATAATTACATGAAACGCAATAACCTATAAAAATATAACATTTCTGTAATATATTGTAAACCTGTTCATAAACATGATAAAAGAAGCAAAAATAGAAATAATTTGTATTTATCTGTACCTGTGTTGTTGACATAAGGTGACGTCACCTAGTTGAAGTGTGCCATCACCGTTAAATCCGAGATTAGACCAATAGTTGGGTTCTGATAATCCTCTTAACGGTGCAGTAATATCACTATTTGAACTTGTGTCAACTAAACTTGTTGAAGATTTTAAACTTGTCTTAGTTTTAAAAGAAGTTTGTAAAATGTGGTATCTCTTGTTACTTGTCTTCATCTTCTTTTTCTTCTCATCCTTTTGTTTCATGATGTATGTGTCTTTCTTTTAACTTTTGTTAAACATGTAATGATTCACACATTAATATCCTGTACAATCAACCCACATTCAGATTTGGCTTGAAACATGAAGGACGGAACACATTCGACCTTATTTACTAAGATCAAAAGAAATCTTTTGAAGGCCATAAATCTAAAGTAATAGATAGATATATAGATAGAAATGAGGTTTAATGTCCACTTGAAACAAACTAGGTCATTTCGAGACTAACATATGGTTCAGTGTTATTTTAATAATTCACTTGCGTGTAGGGTCTTTAGCAGTAGGAGGAAACTCGAGGACCCGGAGAAAACCCATGAAGCTGGACAGACGACCCTACTCCTTGTCACGTACAACTGGGGAATGAAAACCACGCCAGTTGACTCAATGACAGGCCTTATGATATAGCGCGCACATGCTAATCATTCGGCCACCCAACCCCTCTCTAATGTAATAAGAATTAAAAGATGCAATTCTATTAATACTGAGTTCCGGTACTCTTTTAGGAACCCCTGCTTACGTAAGGACTCTGACTACTAGCTTGTGAGTTACAGTCAGGCACCAGAACGTCCTCTATACCAACTACAATACCTGTATCAACAGACACTTCCAGTGAGAAAGTGAGAGAGATGGGGTTTAACTTCCACTCGTCACAAACTAGGTCATTTCAATAATTCGCTTGCACTTCAGGCTTTTTAGCAGAGGGAGGAAACCGGAGGACACGGAGAAAACCCATGAAGCTGGACAACGGACCCTACTCCTTGTCACGTACAACCGGGGAATCGCAACCACACCAGTTGATTCAATGACAGAACTTATGATAAAGCGCGCACTTATTAACCATTCGGCCATCCCCCCCCCCCCCCGACACTTCCAGTATCATAAGTTATCAACTTTCAACCTCCTTCACATTGTCATTGTTATACCAACTTCTGATACTGCCACTCATCAAAATTTGACATTTTAGAGCAAATCTTTTAATAACAACTATATGTGCAGAGAGAGCAAGATGAGGTTAACACAAACTAGGTCATTTCAAGACTAACATGATCAATAATTTAGCCTACTGACATTTGTTAACAATCGGCCACTAAAGTAACATGATATTATTGATGTCAAAAAAGCAAATTAAATCAATAAATCAATTTCTAACCATGGATAATACAGAACTAATATGTTAAATGCAATCGTAAGTTATCAAAAGATGTAGAAATGCATTTCAAATTCAAAAACTACATCTTCAGTAACCATTAGACTTCAAGAACTACAACAATCTCTTTTCTTAAACAGGTCTGGAAGTAATACTTTTAGAACTAGTACATGTACGTACATGTAAGATTCTAAGCTTTGTGTCATACATGTGTTTCAAACATCAATAAATACAATGATAAATACAAACTTGTGCTAGAAAAGGTTACAGGAACCACAAGGATTTTGACTGACATTGTCTGTGATGCGATTTCTAAATAGTCGATGATACGCTTTTTAACAGTCGATGGTATGATTTCTAACAATTGATGATATGATTTCTAACAGTCGATTTCTAACAGTCAATGATACGATTTCTAACAGTCAATGATACGATTTCTAACAGTCAAAGATACGATTTCTAACAGTCAATGATACGATTTCTAACAGTCAATGATACGATTTCTGATTTCTAACAATCTATGATACGATTTGTAGCAGTCAATGATACGATTTCTAAAAGTCAATGATACGATTTCTAACAGTTGATATGATTTCTAACAGTCGATGATACGATTTCTAGCAAAACAGTCGATGTTACGATTTTTAACAGTCGATGATACGATTTCTAACAATCAATGATAGGATTTCTAGCAGAATAGTCGATGATACGATTTCTAGCAGAACAGTTGATGATACGATTTCTAACAGTCGATGATACGATTTCTAACAGACGATGATACGATTTCTTACAGTCGATGATACTATTTCTAACAATCAATAATATGATTTGTAACAGTCGATGATACAATTTCTAAAAGTCAATGATACGATTTCTAACAGTTGATGATATAATTTCTAACAGTTGATGATATGATTTCTAACAGTCAATGATATGATTTCTAAACAATAAACACTGACTTCAACAAACCAATAAAGCCATCTTAAATCAATAATATATCCTACATATATATGATAACAATTTATTCTAATTTCATAGTTAATATTAATTCTGTTTATCTAGAACATTTGATCATATTCAACTTATTTTATCCATGTACATGTATTTCCTGAGCAGTTCAGCCTAGGTACTGGAAACAAAGATTTTATTCAACTTATTGTATTCTTGAACATGTATTTACTGATCAGTTCTGCCTAGGTACAGGAAATAAAGAAAATTCTGATCAGATTAGAAATCATGTTAGTTTGATAATCAAAGATATTTTATACAAGTGAGTTACACTGATCAATAATGGAGAAGTAAAATCTAAAAATAAAAGTGCCATATAGCAGGAACATTAAGCTTGTAACAATATACTGTATATAGCTACTGTTGATGATACGATTTCTAACAGTCGATGATACAATTTCTAACAGTCGATTTCTAACAGTTGATGATACGATTTCTAACAGTTGATGATACGATTTCTAACAGTCGATGATACGATTTCTAACAGTCGATGATATGATTTCTAACAGTCGATGATACGATTTCTAACTGTCGATGATACAATTTCTAACAGTCGATGATACGATTTCTAACAGTCGATGCTACGATTTCTAACAGTCGATGATACGATTTCTAACAGTCGATAATACGATTTCTAACAGTCGATGATGCAATTTCTAACAGTCGATGATATGATTTCTAACAGTCAATGATACGATTTCTAAGAGTCGATGATACTATAAGAGTCAATGATACGATTTCTAACAGTAGATGATATGATTTCTAACAGTCAATATGTTTTGCCCTTTCTGTACTGTATACCGGTACTGTAAATATTTCAGTTTTTATCTAATTGTCAAAATCTCATAAATCTTTGTGAAGAGAGAGAGGGAGACAGAGAAATGGGATTTAACGTTTCTCTTATTGGTGTTGTAAAATTATCATTTTTTGCCTATTAACAATATTGACATGTTTTTTTGTATATTAATCAGACAATTTGTACTACAACTGATCATTGAATAACACCATGATATTTAACTATGCAAATGCAAATAAGCACTTTATAATGGCAATTATTTAGCCGTCTCTCTGTTCACCATTAAACGGAAGCAGTTGCTCCGGTGATACAGCACTGCGCAGGTCCATCTGAGACCATTTTTGTGCTCCGGTCCCCGACAACTATATAAAGAGAACATCTGTACAATTTCAATTAAGAACCTGATGAGTCCGTAATGAACGAAACTAGTCGCTTCGTGAGAGAAATCTGGGACGGCTACTCGCCACTCATAGATTTCTAATTTTTTCTCAAATAATCTAACTGTAGGTTTGAATTCTGTTTCAGTTTAAAGATGACTTTACTGTTAGAAACGCCGCCACTAGAACAGCTTGAAATAAATAAGGCAAAGTTTTCATCCCCAACATCAACATTATAGCAAAATCCTACTTAATACCCAACCAAAAATTTCAAAACGATGGCATATCAAAAACTCCAAAACACCAAACGAACTTAAAAATCCATGCTAATTTTGAATAAACAAATTGAGCTCCTTATTTAACAGATTAACAACAAAAGGCACAAATTCTGGTTTACATTATATAAATCTACTTCCCAGAAGCTGTGTGTACACGTGTCAATTTTACACCTTTTTACCTACTAACTGTTTCATTACCAGTTTCAATTAATTACATTGTTCTTGACTCCTTGTAGCAGTTTACAGGTTGATACTGATTATAAATTCAACAATAACTCTGCACAATCCATATGAAACAATGAAAAGGATTATAATATAGACTAAAAATCCCTTCCAACACCTACTAGTAACAAAAGACAAACTTAACAATGAAAAATACCCAACAGTGTGACCTAATACCCAAGATATTAGTGGGAAAAAATCAGAATTGTTTCATTCATATGTTTGTCGTTAAACTTGTCTACTCATGAAATTGTTCAACAGCAAACATAAACCGGTATACTAACAGATTATCATGTAAAAATAAACTTTTGGGTTTTTACCTAAATATATACTACATGTAAAACACAGTGTAATAATGTCATACATATGTATACTCTAATTTCTAATATTAGAAAACCTCTAAAGTTACATGTAATGTCCTGGTTTTCTGCACCAATAGGGCTAACGAAGACAGGCATACACCATGCAGCATCCAATAAGGGACATATTACAATGCAATTGACAGTGGTGCTGTGGTTGAATCTTATACTGATTTCAAACTTTCCAGTGAGTGGTAAACTAAGGGATCTCAGTTTTATGTCCCATCCAAAGGACTAGATTTTCCTTGCCAGGCCCTTGGTATGTCCTGCACCACTAGTAAGGTGAAAACCTTGTCGAAAAATCCCAATGAAACTTTCTGGGCCAAAACCAGGATCGACCATGGTACCCCCGGAGTTAGTAAGCCACCGCAATACTCACTGCACCACCAGTATCACGATTCTTTTTTCGTGTTTTTATTTTTGTTGCTTCAATAAGTAACCTGTCACTCTTAATTATCCAAGTTACACATTATCCATAGCTACACAAACAATCTTAAATTTTTTGGGTCCTTATTTTGATCAACATCAATATCGTGATATAAAAGTTTTATTTCTTCCACATCGGCAGGACTAAAAATATCAATTATTCATTTATCCTGTTGTTTTATTTTGTGAATATTGACCTGGTTGTGAATCCTGATAAGAATCGCATTGTAGTACCTGAATCGCAATATGTATTGTTTCATGACTGCAGTGGCAATACCCAGCACTAGCCACCATGGCTCCCTTATTAATATAAAGCAATACAAATTTGTCATGGATGGCTTCCAAGAAATTTGTATCACCCCTAACTTATGAACCAACACATGCCGTATCACAGTAATCACCATATTCAACAACTTTTGAAACAAACACATGCAGTAGTAACCAATATGACCATATTGAACCAAACACATACCTTTTTCTTATCGTCTACCAGACTATAAACAAATAACATACAAATAATCATAGCATATTATAATCCTAGTCACTTCCAGGCATCCATATCCATAATAATACAATGTGAATAATTACACTGTGATGATAAATAGGACCACAAGTCGTAAACCCACAAGAAGACATGTAGAATGTAGAGATACACCTACATGTACATATAAACAAAGTAAAGGACCACAGTGTACATGGATGTCATTTGTCAACACTGATTGTTTAAACACACCAGAGGTTGGCTGACCACGAACGGAAGTACAGAGAAAGGAAGTGGATATCATTTCAGTAGACACCGTGACGAGATTCTATAATTACTGGCTATCTTGATTCTTGACGCAAGTGGCTACTTCCACTTAAACTATTAGTAATCAATAACAAATGCTTAATACATCAGTAATACTAAAATTATCATAAAAACTTTTCCTTAATGTCATCTTTTCTTTCTCTGTGCTATTCAAAAGAAATAAAACCTTATGGTAATTTTTTACCATAAGGTTTTATTTCTTTTGAATAGCACAGAGAAAGTTATTTTTCATTGACTAAAAAAGTTTTCCTAGTTTTTAAATAAAACGAAATATAACCCACTGGATTTACTTCCTTTATAAAAACTTACCACTGATGGCTGATTACAAATAGAAAATAAAGCTATTACTTTGAATCTACAGCTAATTTGTATTGCTTTGTATTAAAACTGCTGATAGTGACAGTTGA